GTTCTAGAGCCCTGCTATTCTTCGCGCTAGCCATCGGCTGCAGCACCCCTCTGTAACTGCCCGCAGGTTGACGCAGCGCGCCGCGACTTCCTTGGTCGTGCAGCAGAGGACCCTGCGCACCGCGCCTCCCGCCGGTGACTTTCTTCTCAACACCCGAGTTTCCCTTTCATAGAGAAACTCCACTTGAGGCTTTCGCCTCGCCGTCAAAAAGCCACCATGAACTCATCAGCGCCCGAAAGGACTTCATCGCGGAAGCTTACCCGCTCCAGCCTCAAGTCTGCCGCTCTTCCCACTTCTTCTCTCCTCCCCTATGACTGACATGGCAATTTTCGCCACAGCTTTCGCAGCTCCACCATGAGCATCTACGTCAGTATAAGTGCCGAGCCGTTCATACTTCACAAGAACCTGATCACCTCTACCTCGGCCCTCTTCCGCGACTACCGCTTCGAGTCCGTTCTCACCCTCCCCGAGGAAGACGCCGCGCTCTTCGAGGTCTATGCAGAGTGGATCTACAGCAACCACAGTCTTGCCGTACTGCACGACTTGCGCGCCCACGAAGTCGTCAAGCGAGCCGACGGCACAACCGACCAGCCGGGCGCCGAGCACCTGTTTCACTTGTACTGCCTGGGTGCGCGGCTGCGAGATGTGACGTTCAAGAATGCCGTCGTGGATGCGTTTGTGGACATGCTGATGAAGGCGACGGAATGCCCGACTCATCTTGCGAAGTGGATCTACGAGAGGCTCCCGCCGGGCAACACGTTCGGGAAGCTGTACGTCGACATGTGGTGCTGGAATTCGGATGAGAGCTGGTTCGAGGATCTGGAGCAAAGGGACGACCCCATCAGCGCCCCGGGCGAGTTTTGGCTGGATGTGGTAAAGAAGAAGACGCTGCTGGGAAAGAAGATATACGACGCGAGGCTGAGGGTGCCTTGGGTCGCGGATCGGACACAGTACTACGAGGAGGAGAAGCACGAGACTGGGGGAGAGCATTCTGTGTGGTCGAGCGTGCACCAGACCGAGAATTCAGGCGTCGTGGTGAAGCCGGACCCAGAAGACACATGATTGTTCCTGTGGCGGTTGGCAGCCCGGCTCCTCCAGGTTTCATTACGCGCTTGTACTGGCAATAAAAGGGTGAGGACCTGGTAATACGCTTATGAAAAATCGTCTTGTAAGCATGATCAACAGGTTCCATGTGTAGATTGATACAGTAGCCAAATGCTCGAAATTCAAGCTCGGCGACTGGGGTCGTGTTTGTGAGATACATAATTATTCACTTCGGAATTACCCTAGCTTGACCCCCTCACCTACAAGAACTTAGACCTTGACTTTGTGCTTCAGGCTGATGCGTAGCCCATGGTTTCCGAGAAATAAAGCTTAGGCATGAAACATCGACAATCTCGTTCGTAGAATATTCATTCTGGTATTCCGACGGTACTTCAAAGCGGCTTGGCCCCTTGCCTATCTGGGCTATCCGTCCCCAAAATCGCCTCCATGTCTTTCATCCTCTTTTTCCCCATCCTCGCCACCTCCCTCCTCACCTTCCTCGCCTCCCTCTCCACCTTCGCCAACTCGGCTTCTCGGTCCACAATGTTCTGCATCTTCTTCACCGTCCACTCGGTCCTCGTCCTCTGTACGCCGAGTTGGGCCGATATGATCCTCACAACCCTCTGCGGCTCATCGGTCCACGACCCTTCGGCCTCGGGCCACTCATCGATGATCATGTCGTCTCCATCAGCAGGCGACACGCCCTCGCGCTCCCACAGCAGCCGGTCCCACTCGTCCTCGTCCTGGGCGAGTACGGACCAGTAGTCGGCGGCCTCGGAGCGCACGTCCAGGCGGCGTTGGCGCTGCTTGATCTTGTCGGTCAGCACGCGCGACAGGCTGCGCGGCTGCGGCTTCTGCAGGCGCAGCATGGGGAAGGTGTTCGCCGAGACCAGCCGTGGCACGCGCCGCACGCCCGTGCCGCCAAGGGCGGTGGCGGGGAGAGGGCGGATGGCGAGGGTGCGGGCGGACGGCGGCGGGCAGGCTTCGGGCGAGGGATCGAGGCGTTTGGGTCCGCGCGGTTGGGCATTGGGATCGGTGGGCGAGCGGGTGAGGTGCGGAGGTGCGGATGCGAGGAGGTTGGCCACGAGCTGTGTTGCTGACTCTTTTGCATCATCGGAACATGTAGCTGTGGCGGGGGACGAGGAGGCTCGAGCCAGCATGTCGAGCAGCTCATAGCCAGCCGTGAAGCTCAGCTTGAGCAGCCGCGTTGAGTGGACATGGCGGTTGCGTCGGAATTTGTTGCGGATGATGTTGCGCAAGACGATCCGCTGGTCGTCAGCCAGCGGGAACGCAGCCGGGGAGCATTGTGTCAAGAGAGCACGGTAGAGAGCGATCGCTGTTTTTGGCTCACGTTAGAACAAGAGCATTGCTCATGATGGACAGGCATACCAGCTACGCGATGTGCTCCTGAGCGCGCGGGAACCACAAAGGCCGGCATGCATGTGTTGGTCCGGCCATGCGTGTCTTTGGCCTTCGCTGTAGGCAGAGGTCGGAGATTTTCCAAGCTGGTCCGCCGGGATCGCGCGATCACGTGCATATGAGGTCATAAGTGTTACAGCCCCCATCGTGGTAACAAATTTCCAGAGGCCTGCAGGCAGCTGAACACCGCAGGATTAACGTGTAGGACGAACACAGTCATCTTCTATGAAGAGGCAAGTGGTGGCCAATGACCAAGTCAAGGGCCAGGCAATAAACTGGAGAAGTAATTGAATTTCGCCTCAGCTAGTTGCTCATTCTCCACCAAGCCCCAAAACTCCACGCCCATGCAGGGGGTTCGTTCATGAAAGATCATCCGAGGGTGCAGCAATACCACCATCTCCCAAGTGTAAAACGCGCCGGTTTGCAACTCGTTCCAACAAGATACGTGGTGGCGTCTAGCTGTAGGTGGAGCCCTCCGGGGGCTGGGGCAGCTTCTTGTGCTGCGGCAGAGCCATGTACCTGGCGGGTTGGTATTAGCACGCGTGTGGCAGAGGGTCTGGGAGACATTTCATACCTCCTCAGCTCGATGAGAATCGTCTCCATGGTGAAGTCCCTCTTCCACTGCATCAGGCAGGGGAGCTTGGAGGGGTCGACCTGTTGTCATCCTTCGATTTAGCCCGGCTGCTCCTCCCTGGCGTAGGGCATGGCATACCTTGCCGTTGCTCTGGCTCACGCAGGGCACGTTGATCTTGGACACGAATGTCACCTCGGGCGGGACGTCGGGGTACTGCTCGCCGCAGTGGATCTTGACGCTGTATATGCGGTTCTCGTGCACGCTCTGCATCAATTAGCTCGGGGAATGCAGCTGCGGAGACAATACGCACGTGGGGAGGGCCGAGAATGGTGCCGTTCCAGTTGGACATGAGCAGATCGTCTCCGTTCTCCAGGCCGTAGGAGCAGGCCTCGGCACCGAGGCCCTTCTCGCCCTTCTCCAGCTCTTCCAGCAGACGGAAGTTGCGCGGCACTTTGGCGCCCATGGTGTGCGGCGGAGTAAGACGAGAGCTTGCGGAGCGGAGGCGCGGTCGCGAGTGGCACGAGTGTAGGCAGCGCGGGGTCGGGAGAGATGCGGGGGCGAGATTTGCGCGGTGGGCAGAAGTCGCGTGGGGCAGAGCTGGTGGACGGGCGGTGATGGTGCGGTTTGGGCGAGCGAGCACCAGCCCACCTGGAGCGGGCGGGCGGGCAGCTTCGCGTGCAGGGGCGCCTGGCTTGGCGCGATTCCGAGGCAGGCGCTTCACGTGTCGCAGCGCAACTGAAGCCACGCAAGCACACCTCACGACATCCCAATGCCGCCAGTCTGCCAAACGAGGCCATGACCGCCCAGATCCTGTCCGGCGAGTTGGCCAATCTCGTCAACGAGTCCAAAAGAAAAAACCCCGACCTGCGCAATGTCCGTTTGCTCCCTGCAGCCTTGACCTGCCTGCATCCCCAGCTGACTCGAGCTTCTTTGCGCAGGCGGCAGACAAGTCTTTGCAGGAGCTGCGGTCCCTGCCCTCCACCTCCGAGGCCCAGCTAGCCGCCGGTTGGTCGTGTCTATTGCGTGTATCTGCGCCTGCCTGACTGATGCTGGAAGAGACCTGACCCGCCGCACCGCCTTCATCGACCCTTTCGTGAAGGCCTGCCAGACCCAAAATGCCAAATTCGTCTCCTCCGCCGTCGTGTGTCTGCAGCGCCTCATTGTCATGCGTGCCGTGCCTCGCAGCAGGCTGAGAGAGGTACTCGACGGCTTCCGCGACTCCAGCCAATTGAGTAATTATTCTTGATGTCCGCCGCCAAGCCCGCCTACTAATGCTGCTTCCAGGTCTGGACATCCAGCTCAAGATTCTGCAAGCACTGCCTTCGCTCATCCAGAACTATGCCGATGATGTCCGCGGCGAGCTTTTGTCCAGTGTGCTGCAGGTGTGCTCGACGTTGCAGACTGCCAAAAATCCCGTTGCAAGCGCCACTGCCGCTGCTACGTTGCAACAACTGGTCATTTCGACCTTCGAAAAAGTCGTCGTTGAAGACGGTATGGCACGTTGCCGCTCCAGCCGAAGCCATTGCTGACGGAACTGCACCAGAGAAACAACTGCAAATCCCAACGGTGACCGAGGTTCCCGGCGACGATGGCAATATCTCCGTTCGGCCCTCGGCCAACGATGCATACAAGGTGCGCAACCATCCTGCAGCCGAGCCGCTCGTTTACTGAACCGCATGTAGGTCTTCCGCGACATCTGTCTCTTGACTGAAGGAGGCAAGCCGCAGTCAATTCGCTTCTCGACAATCTCGCAAGCTTCCGGACTCGAGCTGATTGAAGCAATTCTGGGCAATCATGGTAGCCTTTTCTTGTCTCATGCCGAACAAGCTTTCATTCTCCGTACACACATCATGCCGCTCATCATCAAGAGTCTTTCCGAGCGGCTCAGCTTTTCAATTACTCTTCGGATTATGCGAGTCTTCAACCTGATCCTCAGACAACACTTGACCATAGTGCCTTCAGAATGCGAAATGGCTTTGGGGCTCCTGAATCATATGCTTGATCCGGACGCCGCAGCTCCATGGAAGCGTGCCATGTGCATGGAGGTCTTCCGGAATGTCTACTCAGACCCCAATCTCATCATCCAGATCTATGCTCAGTACGATGCCCAGGAAGGCAAGAAGTCGATAATTCGGGACAACCTCGCCGTCTTCGTCCGCCTCTCAACCGAGAAGCCCACCGTCATCGGTCTCGGTCAGCATTCCACCGCTCCGGTAAATGCACCTCCTGAAGAGGACGTCTTGCCTGACGCCCAGGTCGCGCTCGAAGCTGGGGCGGTTGGCATCATCGGCGGAGCACCAAGCACGTCGAGCGTTCCCGGAATCAGCACCCAGTGGAGCACCATGCGGATCCCATGCATGGATCATCTGGACAAACAGGAACCCCCAGCTTTGCCTGAGACTTACATATACAGCTTGGTCTTGAGCTGCATCAATAACTTCTCTGAAAGTCTCGCCAAGTTCATTCTCCCCTTGACTGTGCACAAAGAAGGCCGCAAGAAGAAAGCAAAGGGCGATGCAGCCGCGAACCAAGAACCTCCTAGTACGCCTATCGAGGAGAAGCCCAAAAGCAGGATGGCTAGATCACAGTCCTTCAGGCGACGGACAGTTCCCGTCAATCCATTGGATTTGAAGAACAACCCTGCCGAGGAAGCTATCAAGATGACTGCAGAGGCCATAAACGACTGTTGGCCAGCCGTTCTTGCTACTTGCTCGACTTTCCTCAACGCTGCTCTGGATAACGAATACTACCACGATCTGGTACGTTCAATTCAAAAATTCACTCAGATTGCCGGCCTGCTGCGTCTCTCCACCCCTCGAGATGCATTCCTCACAACCCTCGGGAAAGCGGCTGTGCCACCGACCGTCTTCACTGCGACCGTCTCGAATCCCAAGGCTTCAGGCGCCGAAACGCCAACAATGTACAACAACAAAGGAGGGTTGCTGAGCGTCGATAGCCTTGTCAGTCAAGGATCCGATAAGAACAGGCGAACATCGATCGAGTCGGGACCGCCGACTCTCAGCACGCGGAATCTTCTATGTCTGAGAGCGCTTTTGAACTTGGCCATCGCGCTTGGGCCAACCTTAGAGTCAGCGTGGTCAATCGTTTTCGAGACTCTACAGCAGGCCGATATGATCATGGCGGCAGCCAACTCCACGAGCAGTGGCCGAGATCGCAGAGGAAACCGCTATGATGGGGGCGCCATTGCCCAAATAATGGGCCCGGAAGTTGGAGCTGTTCAAGCTGCAGCTTCACGGCTGTTTGAGAGCACTGTGGACTTCCCCAACGAATCCTTTGTTCAAGTGCTGACATCTCTCTGCACACTGCTCGAAGGCAAGCCCAGTCGTGCGAGCGCCAGCCAAGGGCCCCCAACGCCGAACCCCCAGGAGCGCAAGCTGAGCAACTTCGGGATCAACATCAAGACCGAGCTGCATGTTCAAGATTACGTCTTCTCATTGAGAAAACTTGGTGACCTTGGCACACTCAATGCTAATCGGCTCATCAGCTTCGACCCAGACGTCAGCGGCTGGTCGTTGCTGATCAAGGCGCTCGTGTCTGTTGCGAGCAATCCCAACATCACGAGCTCTGTACGCCTTCTTGCAGCAGATGTGCTCAGCGGTCTGGTTCAGGATGTTGCCAAGGAGACACAGGCGGAAGATCAGCCGCTCAAGAACGAGATTCACGCCAGGGTTCTTTCGGCGCTCCAGCTTGTGATCGACTCTCTTTACGAAGGTGCCAACGACCCTGAAGATGAACTTGATGAGACCGACATCGAGGTCCATGTTGTCGTTCTCGACGCCCTCAAGAGTATCCTGGAACAGTGCGGTGACTCTCTTCAAGTCGGCTGGAATCTCGTTTTCTTGCTTACACGGAGCGTGTTCATTGGCTTTGGTACCAAGATACAGCATGGAAGTACCGCAGAAGCCACCAGCGTTCCAAGGTCATCTGAGATGATTGCAACAAATCTGGGAAGACTCGCCTTTAGCTCTGTGCAGCTCGTCTGCTCCGACTTCCTGACATCAATTCCGGATGATGCCATTTTCTTGCTCTTGGACCTGCTTTACTTCTTCTGCGACCAAGGGGAGGACCTGAACATTTCCTTGACTGTAATATCACCCCATCCAAATCCAACTGGAGTGCGCTGACTTTTCCACTAGACAATAACTTATTTCTGGAACGTTTCGGACTATCTTCATGGCCGTACAGACGCGGCGGCGATGGAAGAGCTTGCAACCAAATCCATCGATGTCGCCAACCCGGAAGAACAGATCCAAGAAGGCGTAAAAACGCAGTCCATTCCGGCAATGTGGCTGCATCTACTCGAGCGCATTGCCACTATTGCACATGACCGCAGAGCCGAAGTCAGAAATGGAACCCTGCATACCCTTCTCCGAATTTTCGACAACTATGGAGACCAACTATCACCTGCATCCTGGAATCTTTGCCTGCGGGTGATTATGTTCCGCCTCTTAGCCTTCGATATCAAGCAACACCAGGCCTTCCGCTCGACCAGCGCAGATCCAGAGGAGGCGCACGCGTGGGTTGAAACCAGTCACATTATCCTCAACGGTCTTGTCAAGCTGTTCAGCGCCTATCCGGAGAGCATCCTTGGCGCGCCTCGGTTCTCATCACTTTGGGCATCGTTGTTGGATTACTTTCGACAGTATCTGGCGTGTGGGTCACAAGCTGTCAATGCAGTCACGTACGACGCTATTTCAGGCCTTCTAGGAAAGCTCGAGTCCGTCAAAGCTATTGACGAAGGCGCAATCCAGAAGGCGTCCGAAATCTGGCTTGAAGCGTCGCCTGGGAGTCACGAAGAGTACCCTTCAAAGGCTGGCAATCATGAAGCTTACCTGGCCTATGTGCGCTGCTTCCGAGAGTTTTACCGCCTCATCGGCGAGGAGATGGACTCTGGTGTGCTTTCTAAGGTTGCCTCAAACCTCCAAAGCTGTATTGTCACCGAAGAGAGCACAGCCTACACGTCAGATAGGGATATCTTGACGCCGTTGCAGAAAGAGGTTCTCCAGGGCATCAAAATCATCAAAACAAACTTTGAAGGGGCTCCGACGATCATTGTGAAGCTTCTGGCCGACTTTGCTGCTCTGCCTTTTGGGAGACCTCCGCCAATTGGAACACGGGATGGCAACACTTTCGTTGCCATCAGCAAGGCGTCAATGGATCTTATGCAACAACTCGTAACGGACCACATCAACTCTACTGAGCTTTATGCCAACGGCGCCCTGCTTGCTGCTCTACAAAGCCTTGTAGTTCCAATCCGCCTCAAATACGAGTGGAAGGTCCAAGGCAAAGCTCCAAGCATATGGCAGAAAGCTACAACGACGTCGCTGAGTATCTTGGGCCCAATCCTTGCCAACGCACAGAGTTTGTCTATCAACCATGGACAAATGGTTCCCATCTGGCAGGAGATTGCTGCCATCGCAAACGGCATCGCCCGAGCAGACCCCTCTGCAGCACCTTCTCCCACTGTCATCCTGGAGGATGAATCTTTCGACATCAAATCGCTGACATCCCTTCGTGATATCATCACACCCGGCCTCGGCGCATCTTACATACCCGACTCCACCCGCCGCGCCTACACTTCGACCCTCTTCCACAACTCCCTAATCCATCCTCCATCAGTTGAGGAGATACCACCCGACTTCTCCTCCTCGCCACCCCTCACCTCTCTCTACACCATCCGCCACGGCCGTACTCGCGACCCGCCGCCCACGCCTCGCGCACGAATGTCCTACTTCTGCCTGCGTGAGCTCCTCTCTCTGGTCCACCGCAGCCCAGCGACGTGCTCCGAGGAAGAGCGCAGCGAGCGTATCGCCCTGGCCCGCGCCGCGGCGCCCTTCCTCATCCTACGCGCCGCGCTACCCATCAAATCGTACATCGCGGACCAGCCATTGCGAGGCCGCATGCCGCAACCGCAGAGCCAGCGCGAGGAGCTGTTGTTTGCACTACGTGAGCTACAGCAGCTCGAGTGCGAGCCTGACGCCATTCCTGCAAATGACGGTGTCGAGGGCGCTGAGGAGAGGAGGCATCTGCAGAGGTTATATCCGCTTGTGGTGAAGGCGGTGGGAGTGGCAGGACGGGTGGCAGCCGGGTGTGATGATGGTGGGGAGGTTGTGGAAGCGCTGGAAGGGGTGTTGGATGGAGTAGGCGTTGGATTGTTTGGGGCTTGTTGAGAGTTGTGGTGGTCGTGGTCTTTTTTGGTGGGTGGAAAGCTGGAACAAGGGAGAAAAGAGTGCGCGAAGAAAGGATGCAGGCTAGAGAGAACTACAAGGGGCTGGCAGTTGTATGGTAATTATGAGTAAACAAGAAGAGAATCCGAGGGAGAAGATCGCAAAGCGTATCCACATGCATCTCGAGGATGTTGATTCAGGGATGGATGTCGAAGAGTCATGTCTCATCCAGCTTCACACCTTGGAGGTCATTTCTTATATTCCTTTGCCGTCTAATCGTCTTGAAAAGTCGAGGGTGATGCATATGAACGGCTATGAGCTTGGTCTTTGAGCACCGCAACAAAAAGCTAATCATAGATGTAGACTTCGAGCTCCCACATAGTTGAGTGCAATGCCTTGCATGAAAACGGCTGTCACTCTTACGAGTCGTTTCTGCTAGTCTCTCAGCTGCATGTTCTCGATAATGGCCCATCTACGTACTCACCAGCAAACACAAGCGACGCCGTATACATCTGGCCAGTGCCATGGCTTTGTTCCGCTGATCAGAAGCCTTCTTTCCATTAACCCATCCCCACAAGCTCACGGTACATATGGTCATACCTTACGGTCCCCGCACACCCGTTCGCACGACAGTAAATCCCAGCATCCAGGGTATCATATCAACGCCAATGCTTTCACCACCCAAACCGATTGCCAAGCCAGCGCAAATGCCCCTCACAAGCCATCTTCATCCTCTCCCCTACCCTCCACTCCACCGACCCGCGTATCATCGCCAGCCCCGTCTCCTTCTTCTCCAATGATCTGCTGCTGCAGCACGATGCTGTACACGCTAGCCTTAAGCAACGTGAAGACCAAGCTCGTCTTACGCTCGAGGCTGCGCAGCGCGTCGAGTATCTCGGCCGAGGGCGTGGCCGAGAGGGTGTTAAGGAGGTTTGCGAGCTGTACAGTCTCACCGGTTAGTGATAAACACAAACAGGATCTCTGTGTGGAGGGCCAGGAGGCTAAGGATGGAGGCAGTGGAAAAGGAAGTGGATAAGCAATCGAACGAAGCGGGTAGGTGAGGTGCAAGTGAACAGAGAAAGATGGAAAAAGTAAAGTAGAAATTAAAAGGACGGACATCACCCAGGTTTCCCGCCAACCTCGCGTACTCGTCCAAAACCTCCTGCTCCAACGGCGTCAGCGTCTCCGGTCCGGGCGACGTGCTGCCACCTTGCGAGGTAGTGCTGGCCGAAAAATCGGGCGTAGCCATTATTTCCAGTTCTTTGCTTCCTTGTATCCAATTGTCTCTCCGTTGCTCGATGAAGTGCACTCCAGTCCTTCTCCAGCCAAGCCCAGCCTGCCTTGCGCGCACAACTGTTGCTATCCACGTGTATGCCGTAGCCTCTCTTCGCGTCGCGTTCGTGTGTCCCTTTTCCCGCTTGTCTGTCCGTCGGTGCCCGTATGCCGTGAAGACTGGATGGAGGGAAGAGTTCCGGACCGCTAACGATTGCGGCTATGAGCGTGGAGGCAAGAGTGGGAAGTGGAAGGAAGCCGAGATAGGACGGTGCTATCGCCGTCGTTGGGCACGGAAGCGCGTGTTACGACAAAAGAGCAAGAGCGCGACTGCGACGATTGCTTTGGGCACGAAGTGTCGTAGCACGGCGGGCGGGCCAGATAGAAGAAGCGCGTTTCGTCGTTAAGCGGATGACTGTCCGCGACTTCGATGGCGGCTTGACGTCGATTTGGGTTACCGAAGGTTGAGCTGGTAGCGGTGGTGCGTAGTGACGTTGTAATTGGCGGCTCGATAACGATAGCAAAAGCAAATGATCCACACCAAGCACCCCCTTCCTACCCCGCCATTTTCAGCCCTGCGTTGCCTGGCCCTACCTTCCCTACTGGGATAAGTGACCCACAGAGAGATGGAGAATTAGCGCCACCCACATGCACGCGCAGGAAGAACTCGGTTCCTACGTACCACTTACCTAGATGAGCGACAATGAAACTCGCCTGTTGACACCATGCGGCTGCATTCAAAGTCAGGCCCCCGGCCCAGATGTTGCATTCAATGCCCTGGTCAATCATCATAGAGAAGGTAGCGTTGGCTAAATTAAAAAGAAAAACGATGATTTCGACGAGGTAGTCTTGCCTTCCACAACGATGATAAACTTCTCGCCTGCCCGTCGATTTATCTCAGTTATGCTCAACCACATCACATGCCCCGCTAAGACGTAGGAAACGAAAAAAGATTGTAACATCCACTTTTTCTTTTGCCTAGAAGAATATGCCCTTTTTTGCATTTCACCTCTTCTTTCTTGCTCCACATGCATACATGCAACGCTTCTGACTTGGGCTTCTTCGCTGCTGCTGTTGCCGCTTCCGCCCCGCCTCATTCTTCTTGATCAAAAGAACAATCAAAACAATCAAAAACCCAGTTCCTTCATTCACCCACTTCCATACGTCTCAAATGAAACTTCAAAAGGCCTACTACGGGTGATCCATCGCAAGTAGAGTGACGTACTTTCTAGAGATCCCTTCTTTCCGCCCCTCATCCCTCCTCCACTTGAAACTCTGTACAGACATTTCCGTCTGCGGTTGAATGCTTAAACAATAAAACACGAAAAACACAAGCTTAGTTTCCCCCCAAAATAAAACTTTGCTGCCGAACTCCCTAGCCCCCGATGATGTAGATGAAGATAAGAGAGAGAGAGAGAGAGAGAAAGAGCGCGTGCGAACGTGATACTCGCGCGCAGAAACAGGCGTAAGAGAGAGTGAGAGGAAAAGTGAAAACGGACATAAAAACCACATCATCGTCTAATCCGGCTCCAAGACGGATGAGAAGAGAAAGAGGAAGCGTGCAGAGAAAGAATCCCAATCATCCCATCAATCCATGCCATTCCCGTTTCCTCGCCCCACATTTTCGGCCTCGGAAAACCCTTGACCCACAATCACTATCTCGATTCTTGCGTCGCTGCCGGGCTCATGTCGTGACCGCCGCTATATTCGTCACCCTCATGATGTAATGTGACGCTGTTGAACTCCTCGAATGGATCGACCGCCTTCTCCGATCCAGGCGTTGCCAGACCGGAATCCAGCGGCACGCCCTTGACCTTGGCCGCGCCGATGTCCACACTCTGGCTCTCCTTGACGTTCCGGAAGTTGATCGTGTCGATTCCACGGCCCTGGTTGGGGATCATCGGAGGCTTCATGTGCCTCAGCAGGGCCCACTGCGTTGTCCTGAAGAAGGGGTGCGCCTTGACGTCTGACGCGCCAGCGCGCGAGCCGAGACGGCGCATCTCGTCCTTGATGAGCAGTTTGCGGATGAGCGATTTGCAGAGGCTGTGGTGTCGATCAGTATGACAGATCCCGCAGGGGAAAGCAGGCAAGCTTACTTTGAGATTTGCGGTGCGCCGTTGCCCTCGGGGAACGGCACATCATCACGCAGAATGTTAGCAAATGTTGCGTTCCGGTTCTTGCCCTTGAAAGGCGTCGTGCCGTAGAGCATCTCGTAGACCAGGATTCCCAGCGTCCACCAGTCAACTGCACTGGTATGACCGCAACCCTTGATGACCTCCGGGGCGATGTACTCCTCGGTACCAACGAACGAGTTTGTTCGGAAGTTGGCAATGCAGGACTTGGTGTCAATAGCAGGTAGCGAACCGGATGACGAGCCCTTGTTGTTGCCAAGGATCATGGTCGGCCTTCCACCGGGGTCCGACTGCTTGGAGAGATCAAAGTCTGACAACATGATGTGTCCCGACTGGTGCAACAGAATGTCTGCCAACGTCAGAATAAGCAATTAGTAAGAGCGCGGATTCACTCACTCTCCGGCTTCAAATCACGGTAGATGAAGCCCATGAGATGCAAGTACTCGAGCGCGGCAGTAACCTCGGCGGCATAGAACCTCGCAGCATCCTCGTCGACACACTTGTTGGGACGGGTTTGAAGTGCTGTGAGCCAGTCAGTCAGCTGCGCAGATGCCGTGGCCGGTCGACGTACCTCGGAAGAACTCGCCACCGCTGCAGTATTCCATGCAGAGGTAGAGATGGTCCTCGGACTGGAAGGAGTGGTAGAGCGTGACAATGAACGGGTGGTTGCTGGTAGCCAGGATCTCCTGCTCGGCCAGAGCGCGCTTGATCTTATTCCGCTTGATCATCTCCTTCTTGCTCAAGACTGCATCACGTCAGCAACCGCGCTCGAGCGCCGGAAAGCGCGCACATACCCTTCATGGCGTACAGCCTGCCCGACTTCTTCTCCCGAACCAGATAGACCTTTCCGACATCGCCCTTGCCGATCAACTTGATCTTGTCGAAGCTGCCGGGGCCAACCTCGACGTTTCGCACCTTGATCGAATTCGAGCTGTACGTTCTCCTGAAGGCCAGGTTGTTGCGGATCTGGCCGGGGGAGGGCAGGCTGCCGGCGGCGCCATCGCCAGCGGGGATGGCGAGGTGGCTGCTGTCGGCCGTCTCGACCATGCTCAGGGTCGAGGTGTTGCCGTGCTGGACCAGCGGCTCCTTGCCCAGCTCGGCGGTCTGGGGGCGGTCGCCGTGGGAGCCGTTGGTGAAGAGGCCCTGGGCGTTCGGGGCGGAGGCGACGCGGCGCAGCTTGCGGGCGAGCTCTTCCTTGCCGGCGGTGGTGGCCTTGTCGCTGGGGCCGTCGACGTCCTCGACCTTGGTGGTGGGCATGGGAGGAGTGTCGGGCGGCGAGGGGGGCACGCTGCCCTCGTTGTGGTGGCGGAGCGCGGGCGGACCCTGGTGCTGGAAGTAGGGGTTCGCCTGGGCGGTGGGGGACATGCCCTCGTCGAGAGGGTTGCCTTCGCTGGCGACGGTGGTGCTGCGGTTGCGGTTCAGGTGCGGGATGAAGCGCGACTGGCGGAAGGTTGATTTGCCGTCGCGCTCCTTGGTCGAGCCTCCATCGCCGCTGTGCTTGGCGCCGTCGAGACTGTCCTTGCTGCCGCCGGTGTTGATGCGGAAGAAGTTCTTGATCTTCTGCGAGACCTGGCTGTTGGAGCCATTGACCTGCTTGTTGGTGGAGATGGGCATGCCGGTGAAGGCGCGCTTCGAGTCTTGGGGGACGGTCGAGTGGCCGGACGAGCTGAAGAGCTGCGTCATGGCTGGGGCAGCGGCGCGGGGGCCGGGGCAGGCTGGGTGGGAGAGGGGAGCAATGCGCGGGTGGTGGTTAGGATTGGAGAAGGAGTCAGTCAATGGGCCGGCGGAGCGAGCCAGCTCACTGAGCCATGTCTCGCGGGGGGCGCGGGCTCAGGATCGGCGCAGTGGTGTGTTTGGGGCGGTGGCCGGGGCGCTGGAGAGGCAACGGCGCGCCGCGCGAGATTGCTGGCGTGCGAGCGGTGGTGGAGAGCAACGGTGGAATGCGGTCGGCAGGTACTTGATCGGCCAGCGAGGTGGGGATGGGAGGGCGAGCTTGGCACTCGGCTGGACTGGACATCGTACTCCTGCCTGCTCAGCCTCGCGCCGAACGGACCCCGTTTCGCCGCAACACGCCGACCCAACCCACGTCGTCATCGCGCCGTCTGACAAACAAGCGCCGAGTCTGACCTGCGCCCATCGTCATAGCAGCGGCTGCCCTCAGCGTGCTGCTGCACTCGACTGCGGACGGGGCGCGCCGAGGGCAGCGTAGCATCTCCCGTAATCAGGGCTGGGGGCAACGACGGGCTGAGGCCACCCCGGGCCCCCGGCCCTGTCTCGTCGGCGCGCTGCGAGATACTGATGCGCGACAACATTGCACAGGCCGTCGCGCGCGCAAGCCCAGCAATAGTGCTCCCGTTGCGGAGGAGCCGTCTGGTGCTGCTGCGCCTCGCCTCGCCTCGCGCGGAAGGGGGAAGGGCAGTCAAGCCGCGCACGCCATCTCGCGCAGCCTATCTCTCTCCTGAGCACCGCAAAGCCGCCATTACCAAGCAGCCGCCGGGCACGACGCGACGACGCGTCACTCCCGTGTCCCGGCCTATTCCACCACGCCGCAAGGCACGAAACTTGCGCCGGGACACTCCCCGTCCGGCCAAGACATGTCCGCTGGGCCGCCCTGCCAAGGCACGAGCGTCAACCCGCATTCGCTACTGCGGGCCTATCAATGGCAGCCGCCGCGGTAGCTTTGAAATCAAAAAAAAAATAATAATCCGCCGCCTCCGGGGAAGGCGGACGCAACCGGGCGGGGGCATGCAGTTGCACGAAACCCCTGCTCCCAGACACTCAACTGCACACAAACTAATAACTGTCCCTGTGCCCTCTCTCCCTCCAGAAGCCAAATCCGATCAGGCCGTTCCGTGACGCCGCCTTCCGCGTCGGATGACTCTTGCACCCCGACCCCGTGCGCACGTGTAACAGAATACCATCACCAGACAATTCTGCGCAAAGGCCAGCCACAGCGCCCGTACGTGCGGTACACGCGGATGTCCGGTATTGAACACCACTAGGTACCTACTTTCTGCTGCTCGCCCAGCTTGTGGCTGTGTGGCTTTTGATTTTTTTTTCTCTGGCTTCCCCCTTGCGCATGCATATCTTGGACACGCCGAGCCGCTAGTAAAGTAGTAGGTAGCTAGTTAGCCAGCCAGCCATTACTATTCTCAACATCCACACCCACAGGTAGAGAGGTCAAGCTGCTGCATTTCCCCTCCCACGTTCATTCTCACCCCCCCTTTTCCTTACACGTCAGGGAAGTACTGTATGGAACACATACGGCGGCCTCCCCGAAGGAAAGCAGATTCTGAGCACCGCACCGGGTAATATATTCCTCCTTTGACGCGCGATTGGCCGGACTGCAAGCATCAGACTACGTGACCCCACTGCATCAGCCACTCTTCGTGCCCTATACTACCGTGTACCAATATATAGCAACAACACGAGAGTGCCACCGCCGCGGGGGAAGGATCCTGAAGGCACAGGCCATCCAGAGACGCCCCCGAAGCGAGATGATATATTCACCACGTTCGGTTCGCTTACGCGGTAGTGCCAACATGATCGGGCTGTTGGAATCCATACACGATGCTTTACTGCAAGTCGTGCTATTGTTTTGCAACACTAAATGAACCGACCTTATACACCTGGCCCACTTCCCGCTTCGGCTCCCCATGGTCTCCATCATCAACCCTATGCGAATGTAAGCTATAACGCATGCATCTGCGACTACTACACATCAACATCAAATCCCATTGGCTTGTCACCTTTTCGCCCGAGCCGAGCATAGACCGGCGCCGGGACAAACATCCACCCCCGTCACTCACCATTCTACGGAAAGCTGCGGAATGACGTAGTCAAGGCGAAAGCCTCACCGCCGAAGTGGTCAAGTATTGGAAATAATTATGCATACCCACGCGGCTTCTCGATGGCCATGATGGTTGCACAACATTATGTTACTGTATACAAAGTCATTGCATTCGCTTAAAATTCATGCTATCCGTATATGCTTGCAACCATTGCTTCCGGAAAACTTGCATGGCGTCTAATAACCTGATTTCTCTACCCATATAGAAGGAAAAGAAGTACCGAATCGCTGATAGAAAAGCTGGGGATCTTAAAGGCAACAAGAACCATGCTCGAGGGGTACCCTTAATAAAACTTTCAAGTCAGAGTAAAAAGGAAAAAAAAGCATGCATCGTGCACCCTCTGCAGGCCCTTCGATAAAGGCAAAGCCGCTACTTCACATCGCAATTGCAACAGCGACAACAGAATGCACTCGGTTGTGCTTGTCTGTCATTGCACGCCGAGATGCAAAGCGGTGAATTCGACGCCCTTGATTCTGCAGCAGCTGATGAGAGCAGGCGGGCGCTAGCATTCACCAGCAAAAGCAGCACGCGCCCCATTAATGCGGTTTGATCGAGCGGCTAAGCACGAGTAAAGAGGCAAAAACAGTCAAAGAAACCCTGAGCTGATCAAGGAAGTATGGGGAGCCGAGAAAGGTAATAAATCGGGAAAGCAATCCGTCACGACATGGTCCGAGCCATGCTTGCAGCCGATGAATGTGCGGCTATGAATTTCGTGGATGAGAAATGCTTTCCGGAGTGATAGGCTCTTGTCGACGTGCCATTCGAGCCAGATGCTGATCGTTGTGATATCGACGATTGCTCATGGTGGAAGCGGGTTCTGTGTCCGGTAGCGATCGACCTCCCGTTGTTCCTCGTTCCTGATGTCCTCAAACCGTTTCTTCCACATCTCCTTCCAGTTCTTCTTCTCTTCCCGTGACATCTTTGCCGGGTCATCCACCTCATCGTTCCCGGTCTTCTTGCTCTTCCTCCCTTTCTTGCCCTTTCCGGCGCCGGTGGCATTGCCGGTGACTTCCTCGAACTTGTTCTTGACCGCTGTCTTTGAGAGTTTCTTCGGGGAGCCGGTTGACATTGAAGGAGAGTCTGTGAACGCAGAAGCTTTGGAAGGAGAAACACGCGCGTTCGTCGTCTCGGATGTCTGAGTGTTTCCAGCCTCGTCCTCGTCGTCCCCGGCACCGTCGTAAGAGGTGCGGCTGTGCCGTGCCTGTTCGCGCTGGTCACCAAGACAGTTCAGGTTGAAGCTACGGTTGAGCTTCTGCTGACCCTGGCCTGGCACGGACTGACCGGAAAAGACCCTAGCGAGCTTGGAAGGAGACTGATTGGAACGATCACCGGCCCTCATTTCATCCCTCTCATTTCCTGAGCGGTGAAGCATAGGTGTCTGCTGCGTTTTCATCATGACATCGATCTTCTCAGTGATGGTCTTGTCCGTCTCGGCGCTGACGGTTCTGTAAGGGGTTGGGACACTTGCAGGTCCGATGCCCATGCTGGACGAAATGCTCTTGTTGGTCTCCGAGGACTCGAAACGAGCAGCAACAGGCCGAGTGTCTGGAGCTGATGTTGCAGCCTTCAGGGTTGCGTTAGAGGCCTTGTGTATCGGCGTGGCGGATAGCTGGATGTAGCCCATTGAAGGCGCTATACTCTCTTCGCGACGGCATGTGATGGACTCGGGGTGCAGGAAGCTACTCTGACGCTGCTCGCTGTATAGCCGCTGTCGGTGTTGGCTCTGTTCTTCCGATACTGGGGAGGCGCTGCTTTCACTTGGCTGACGAGAGTTTGACTGCTTCGCTGAAAGCAATCCCTGCGCCCAACCCTGCATGTAATCGACGTCCTCAGTCCCCTGAATAGGCTGCCCAGATAAACCAGCCGAGAATCCGAGTAAGAAAGCAACGGACTTGTTCCTAAAGTCCAGTTGTCCCATGGACGAGGGGGGAGGAGCAGGAATCCGGTTCGATTCAGCTCTCGACCATGCACGGCCAGCATAAGAAGAAACTTTCTCCTCGCTATCCTGCCTGGAAGTGTTCTGTGGGACACGAAGTTGCGCGTTCCGGGTAGAGTAGCCTTCAGATTGGCTCATGCCGAGAGCGGAGTCGTTCCTCGCGGATTCGCCATCAATGGGCGAGACTTGAGGAGCTCGGAGGAGATTATGGCCCTCGTCAGGACTTGTGAACACATTGGTCCAAGCAAGCTGCGCCCTGTCGGGCGTAACCTGCCGAGTCTGTATGCCTTTTCTGACATTGTAGCTGGTCGAGGAATGCTCGTGGGGATTGTTAGGGAAAAAGTCGGCCGTGTTGATACTGGACGCACTTGGACGATGTTCGGAAGATTTGACCGAATGATCCGGGCTGATCTTGGTGGTGTTGTCGTTCTTCTTGTCGTCTTTGGTGTTCGAGCAGAGCCAAGGGAAGTGGGCCGCGAAAGTCGCGTCGCGGTGCGGCGAAGCTATTGGGGAAGGTGACGGTGGTACGAACACAAGCGACGAATCTTCGTGGCTCGCTTCTGACTTCGTCTTTTTCTGAGGAGTGTATGCCGGGCTCGTGGGATCCAGTGCAGACCTTTTGCTTGTGATCTGCTGCCCAGATGTCTTGTTTGGATCCTTGATCTCCAATGCATGCGAACGACGAGGAGCGTGAGCTGTTGACTTCGTCTCCTTCTCTTGCTTGTCCTTATCCTCCTTGGGCACCTTATCGACGTTGTCCGCAGCAGGAGCGGCAGCCTCGTCATTCGGAGTGGCTGATGCACCATCCAGGGAAGTAAAACCCTGGAAAGGTACCATGTTGGGAAACATGTAGGGAGCTGGAAACTGGTTACCAGGAGCGAAGGGCACAAAGCCGGCGTGCGCATTAGAGAACATGTAAGGATTCAAAGCTGGCTGCGGCCCGACTTGAGTGGCGACAAGACTTGGATGCTGTGGAAGTGAGGCTCTCTGATGCTCGAAAGAACCGGAACCTGAAGAGTCTCCGGATTCCAAGCGCTTGATGTCCTTTCGAATCCGGTCAGATTCGTTGATCATCTGCACCTTCTGTTCAACCATGTTCTGGCGCTCCTCAGAGGTCAGGTTGCTCTCGCGGATCACCATCTCTCTTTCCAGATCCCTCTGCTCAATATGGATCTTTTCAAGCATTTTCCTCAGCTCAGCAATATCTGCTCTCGCAGTGTTGCTGCTGGTGTTGTTCGTAGCCGGCGTAGGTACAGTGAAAGACCTCGTTGGAGCCTGAGCAAACGCAAATTGGGGACCCGGGAAGAAGAAAGGCACGAAGTTGGGATTGTATCCGTGGGTGTAAGCCGGAATAGTCGTATTGACGGCAGTGTTGGAGCTGTTCGAGCGGCTCATCGGTTCGGAAGCGGGTGGAGGAACAGCGTCCGAGGCCCGGCGCAAATACGGCGGCTGCGAGGTGGCGCGTTGCATTGGGTTGCCACGAACACTGGCGAAACTCCATTCGCCCATCTTAGAGCCGTTGCTGATAGGATATTGCGGGCTTCCCAAGCCAGGCATATCGTGTGGCACAATGCGACCACCGGCGGTGACGCGGAGTCCAGGAGGCGACCCGTGTTCCTTGATGAGCTTCTGAACCTTGTCACGTTTGAGCGATGGGGTGGGTGAGGGCTTCTTCAGTCCGTTGATGTGAGCTGGGCCACCAGCGTTTACGTTTCCGGCATTCGGAGCCGTCAGAAGGGAGTTTGCCGTCGTTGATGAAGATCTGCCGCCATCTAGACGGCCGCGAAAAGCTGGAACCGACGAAGAACCTCGAAGGCCCATGCTCGAATTCGAAGCGGCAGGACGTAAGACATGCTCTGAAGATGCACACGTTAGCTGTCCGCTGTCACTTGCGCTTCGAGACATGCGTGTGGGCGAGTCATCGGGTCCAAAGCCGAACTTCTCATCATAGCGGGCGTGGCGTGCCGCCTGACGCGGCGTCATGGACGGGAGTTGCATGCTTCAGAAAGGATGTCCAGAGGATGACTTGGGAGGAGCTTGGACAGGGCTGGACCTTAGGGTGGAGGCAACAGCAGCAGTGACAGAGAAATTGTGGCTTGGCTGATGATCTTCGGGTGAAAGAAGCACCATGACGAATAAGGTAACAGGATATGGCCCGTTCCCATATGCAGAGACGTGACTTACCTCTGACAGCCTCCTCATCCGTGAACTTGTCAATCGACACAGCCGATTCTGACACAGAGTCCCGCAGAGCTAGCAGCTCCGCGACCTTGGATCTGACTGACATGCCACCGCTGCTGTCCGCTCCGCAATGATCTGGATGATGTCGGCCGCACTCAAGACGAAGGGTAACGGGAGACGCGGGTGGAAAGAGCTGAGTCGACCAAGCGGCGTAGTCACTGGCTCCCGACGCTGCAGCAAGTCAGCATACGTCCGGATCTTGAACAAGAAGAGACCACACACACACAGGGTCCGAGATCCGAAGGTGTGGAGCGTATCAATCAACGGTAGCAAGTGGATCGCGTGGTGCAAACAAGAGAGCTGCGGTATCCAAGCGTGCAGCAAGCGTGCCGATAGTGGAATGAGAGACAGACAGCAAGCCGTGTTGGCGCGCGAAGCAAGAGAGAGATGGATGGAGAAAGTTGTGGATGGGTCTGAGCCGTGAGGAAGGGTGTGTCACGGATGACCGAGATGCGCCTTCTGGTTGTTTCGCGGCTGCGCGTAGGAATGGAGGGAAGTCGTAAGCACAGCCGTCTCTGACCAGGGAGGAGAAGGAAAGAGACATTGCCAAAGAAGATTTCGCCGCACGGCATTGTTACTGCGAGGGTTGCGTCAGTGTTTCCCAGGTGGGAAGTCGAGACGCGGAAGTAGCGACCCGCGAAACAACATCAGAAACGGCGATGAAAAGCTGGCGAACAGATGGCAGCGTGCGGCACCCACTATAACTAGGTCGAATCTTCCAGTCTGTGCAAGAATAAATCATATTGACTGCGGAGCATGCACAAGGTCGGGCTCATAGAAACGTGCAGGCTCATAGTGGGCAGCTGGAACTTCTCGCATTCGCTTTCAGCGCTGCAACCCTGTAACTTGGGCACCTACCTAAGAAGCCAGCTTAGAGTTCGCCCTTCACCTTTTGGTTGCCCTTGCCTGTTCTTGGCCTCCCAAAGGAACGAGCCGATCGCGGCACGATCCGGGGCTGCGAGATCAGATCTGTTGTTACTGCCATTTTGACCACCGAACCCTGCAATCTTGCCACCTGGTCCTTGCACTCGTATCTACTTTTTTAGGCTATGCAGTCTCACCTGATGAAAATGCCGGGATTAGAGCCTCCCTCCTGTTAACGCCATACCCCGTCTGCTACGTAGTAACGCCATGATGTCCAGCCCATCCGTTAATACCTACTTTGAGCTTGCTTGCACTTGTACCTCTCACCCGTCACTTCATCGCTTCCTCACCGATCTCGTCACGGTCGTCGGAGGCTCGAATGCATCATCGTCGTCAGAGATCTCATCGTCACTCGGCGGCTTCTTCCGGGTACTCGTACCCCTTCCAGTCTGGCTTGGCAAGCTGTCCGCAGTCTGGGAGAAGTTCAGCTTGGTCTGCCGCGAAGCTGGCTTCGCCGGTGGCGCCTTTTTGACCGCAGGGCTGGCGGACGGCTGAGAGCGCGACGATGTGGCTGTGGGCTTGTTGGCTGCCGCCTTCTGCCGGGCGGTTGTCTTCTTGGGCGGCGCTGGCTTCGTGAACAAATCCTCTGCATCCGATTCTTCATCCTCTTCATCATTGTCATCATCAATCATAATGACGTCGTCATCCTCTTCTTCTTCCGCTTCTTCCTGAACACGCTTCTTACTGCGGCTACTTCCGGTTGTAGACTTTGCAGGTGCCTTCTTTGTCGTTGCACGAGAAGTGGTAGTTGTTGTACGACCACCGCGGCCACGTCCCCTACCACGCGTGGCTGTAGTCTTGGGCGGGACTGAGCTCGTCCTCGAGTCATCGTCGTCATCCATTTCATCACCATGGTCGATAGCTCCTGGCTGGTCGGCCCAGTCACCATCAAGATCGCTGTCCCAGTTGGCGGGTTTGGGCTTCAACTTCCGACTTGTCCTCGTCTTCTTCTGGCCTGCAGCGAACATCTCTTCAAGCTTGGTACGGTACTCATCCATCGCGTTTGCAATATCATCTTCGTCCATCTCGTCAGTCCCAAGCAGATGTGACATCTGATCTGCAAGAGCTTCGTTGACGAAAATCTCCATTGCTTTGTTGTCATCCTTGTCGACAAACTGACTGACGGCATCGCCAAAAGTGTTCGCCGGCAGTATAGTCAAAGACTGAGCCGAGAGGAATTCACGCACAAGCTTCTCGATCTTGACGTTATCGATGGTGATTTGAGCGAGAACCGATTCCTCTGGCATACTCAGTTCAGCTTTCTTCTGATGTTTCCTTGGAACCTTCTTGCGGTAGAACTGTACAACATCGTTGACGTTGGCAACCCGGTCGAGGAAACGGTTCGAGAAGCGCTGAGGATTCTCGCAGTCGAAGTTACCCCCTTCAGGTGCAGTGTACTCTACCCGAAGGCGGACTAGCGGGAGAGGAGCTTCCAACGATTCGTCATCCTCAGATGGATCTTGCGCAGCCAGCCACTCCCTATTTGCCTGTTTGATGAGGTTCTCGACAATACCCATCAGGTGACGAGTGATCAGAGTACGGTTGTTATCCTTTCTCGCAACGTCCTTCATTGCTCTCTCTTCCGACAGAACGATCTCCTTCATGACGAAGGGCCGCACGGTCTTTAACCTGATTGGTACAACTTCAAACTTCTTGTTTTCCTTGGTGTTGATGCTCAGGATTGCGACGTGCTTAGCTACCGCTTCTCCTGGCATCAGTGAAGTCGCAACTGAGGAACCGGGCTGCATGACGTGGAAGCCAGTGTCCATGTTCTTGGTTGGTTCAATTTTGCACTCGTGTTCGTGGCCCCACACGACAAGGTCTAGAAAGTCGGGAAGAAAACTTTCTGGGAGGTAGCCGGTCTCAGTATACGCGTGGTGGTTTTGGTGAACGCTCATGAGGTTGAACCAGTCGTCTTGTTGCACCGAAGGCCGAAAGAATTTAACGTTGCCATCTCTGAAAGTCCGAAATAGGCGCTCGTCACGGACATTGCTCATACCGTAAAGGGCAAGTTTCGTGTGGCCTTTCTGGAGTAGAACCGGTTTGATCTGGATATTATCGGACTCTGGCGTACGTCCGTAATAATTGACCAGACCGGAAACTTGAAGCAGGTCCATGGCCGAGTAATGGCCTTCCTAGCAATGCGTCAGCGGAAGCCAAAGTTACAATAAACCAGCGTATACGTACTCCCGACGGATCATCGTGGTTGCCGTGGATCGAGAAGACAGGGATTGCGACATTGATGTCCGGATCCTCGTAATTGACGTGGTTGAATGCTCTGTACTGCTGTTATGCTCCGGCACCTCCCAATACATCGCGGGTCTGCCCCGCATTCAAGATCCTACTCACCCTTGAAAGTTCTCGCTTGCATCGCTCAGCATCTCGAGCTGGCACGGCTTGTCCCCGAAGCAGCTCATCCGCAGGCTGCGCATGACATGATACATGCTCTTCCGGCTCGGCTTGTTGTCATGGAAAAGGTCGCCACCATGCAGGACCATGTCGACGTCGTGCTGCTTGGCCAGCATCATAACTTCGTGGAACGTCTTCCAGCTGTCGTCGCCGCGAATGGCGTCGCACTCGTTGTACCCGACATGGCTGTCCGTCGCGATCAGGATGCGGATCGTATCTGGGTCATTGGGGTTGTTCAGGCCTGCAGGCGGTACGTCTGTGAGCCTCGTTCTCTTGTCGGACTTTTTGTAGTCTAGCTTGTTCTTGTCGAGAAGGAGTCTGATGGAAGACATGGGATTTTGCAGTGGAGGAAAGCAAAAGGAAGCAGCAGGGTCAGGCACGAACCTCGCCCCGAAGCAGGCATTGTTGCGGCGCCTCACGCTTTGTAGAACTGAGAAGCGTGGTGAAGCTGGTGCAGATGCCGGTCTATGCAGTGTTGTAGACGGACGTTTTCGCAAGAAAGAGGAAAGAAAACCATGAGATAAATCCGTCGTCAATGCGGCTCGCAGCTGGCAGAATTTGCGCGCGGGTCGACGCTGTTCTGTCGCAGACGACGCGCTGACTCTCACGGAGGACGCGTTTGCTGCCTGGTGTAGCTCAGTGATCGGCGCCGCGGGCGGGCATGACATCGCGCACCGCCGCCGAGCCGCGGACTTGGCTCTCGAGAGCCGCGAAGGCGTCGAACATTTCCCCAAGCTAACACGCCGCATCCACCTCCACAATCACTCACAAAAGTCGATCATGCTGCCAACACGAGCGCTATGCGCGCGCTCAGTCTGGAAGGGTATGTGCCGCCTCCTCCGCCCCTCTCGATGACCATGTCTAACGTCTTCGTTTTTGCCTCCCAGGCCCTCACATCGTCCCGTAAGTTTGCCAAACATAGTCAACCACCGAACCCCGATTGCCAGCTGCTTTCCTTACCGCCATATCCGCACGCCGAGACTGCAATGCCTGACCACAGAGGCAACAATACAGGCTCCCTATCGTCCGCGTCAAGGCCGGCGAGCGCGCGCCTCCAATCAAGACGCAGGCGCGCTCCGCTGTCATCCTACCCAACTTCGTCGGCTTCAAGTTCATGATCCACAACGGCAAGACTTATACCGATGTTACCATCACTGAGGACATGGTCGGCTACAAGCTCGGCGAGTTTGCATCGTGAGTAATTCTTTCTTTTTGGAAGCCGTTCGTGGCATGGGTGGCTTCCTTTCTTTTGGGAACTGTTGATGGAGCAAAGTTATGCGAGCTCATCTGTTCGTCTATTGGATCGTTATGACGGGTGAGACTGAGGATAGACGAATGCTGACTGTTGAATCCTTGCACAGGACGAGGAAGAAGTTCTCGTACAAGCAGACCAAGAACAAATAACAAAAAAGAAAAAGGCTTTCGAGATTCCCCTTTGGGCGTTACGCACATACCTTCCGGCTTCCTTCAACATTTGGGTGGCGTTTTATCATTCAATGCATGCAGACTCGCGCACAAGTACACCTATTATCTTGCCTGTACCATTGACGAATACCATCAAACCAGTGAAGGATTCTCTCTTACGAAGTGGCATAACTTCAGGCGCTCTTGTGTGCCTGGAATAATGATGATGACCGCCACGATGTCATCAACTTCGATGTCATGCTTCCCTTCTCCGAGCGCCATAAAACTCCGTGAACCATGCCATGTGCCCCATAACCCATTATGAATCATCCGTTTCCGAAACCGTCGATCCAGAAAGAAAACATTTGCACCTCGAAGAGCACAGGATGATGCTCTTTCACCTGTAAAACTCGCCCCTTTTCACGTTAACCCCATACTCGCCCACCGCCATGCCCAAGTCCTCCATTGTCAGCACCGTCCGTCCCTGACTTCCACCCTGGCCACCGCCACCATAACCAGGCCTCTGCACTCCCAGATTCACGCCTTTCTGGCCTCCTTCTTTGCTACCAGCACTGCCAGCAGCCGCCGCGCCGGCAGCCGCGCCAGCGCCACCAGCAGCACCGCCAGCGGCGCCCATCATGCCGAAGCCCGCGGCGCCGCCGAGACCGCCCATCGGATTGTTTGAGGTGGTGTTGGAGGAGCGGATGCGCGAGTACTGGTACGCGTCGGCGGCAATGTCGGCGATGAACTTCTGCGTCGCCAGCGCAAGCAGGCGCGCCAGGTGCGGCGGCGTCTGCGGTGGCGGGGGGAGACCCGCCAGTGTGAGATAGTAGTTCGTGACTGCGTCGGGGATCTGCGGCGAAGGCGGAACGGAAGAGAGCGTCGCGTTAGCAGTGGCGGTGTCATTACTGTGTTGCGGAATCCGTTGCAGATACTATTGCGGAGCAAAAGACGTAACATCATTGCACTTCTGGGTATTTCCCCCCCGAGCTTGATAAAAGGGGAGGTGGGTTCCTGTGGGGGCGATGGGGAAGAGTATGGGGAGGATGCACTTACGATGGGCGCATAGTCGTCCATCTTGCTCAGGAACTCGCGCAGGCTGGCATCCTTCTTGGTCGGGATGCGCAGCTCGCTCGCAGGCGGCGCGCCCGCGATCACGTTGGGATCCTGGCCGGGCGCAAGACCAGCACTGCCCGACGCGCCGGGCGCGGATGCATTGTTGCTGCTGTTGTTGTTGTGGCCGTCCATGTCGGTCGTGCCGTCGAGATTCATAGCATCAGGTTGGTTGGGGTCGGTCGAAGCGATTTCGGTGCTGATGGAGGCGTCCAGCTCCTCCTGCTTGACCTCGGGGTTGGTGTTGGCCAGGGTGCTTGATTCGCCAGGTTGCGCGGCGGCAGCTGGATGGTCGGAAGACATTGTCGCACGGGCGCGTGATTCGTTGGGATTCGGAAGGGGCGTGGGTTACAGCGAGGCAGGGAGGGCACCTGACGTGCGTGGGGGTGCTGGCGAGGGTGTCACCGTGGAATGGTGTGTCGCGAATGTCCTGCAGTATCTAATCGTCAAGCCAAGCCCGTGCGGAGACACCCGCTCCCGCTGACGTTGATTGCCTGGGGCCACTCGTCCAATCACAGCACGGGAATGATTCCACAAACGCCTTCACCAATTCCAGACTTGGTCGCGTTTGTCGAAACAAAGGAATAATCCATCCGCAAACTAATGGATGCCAAGCTCAGAGAGCTTTGGCATCTTCCTCCCTTCCCCAGTGCGCAGCTAGCCATTACTACAGTACGAGATCGCTACCTAATCTATTCATATTTCGGGTATCATACTGTCGTTGTCTTGCAAGCTGCCCGACCGGATCATTGTCTTAGTTCGTGCCCCTACCCTACCAGTGAAAATGGAAATCCGTAGACTTTCCCTCCAATCGTCAAATGAACGTACGTACCATTAAAGCCCACCGCGACAATGCCATCATCCTCATTTCGGAGCCGCTCTACACAAGGGAAAAGTAAGGAAACCATTGCACTCGCTGACACTGAAACCCAATGCCGTCTTCACCACCCCCTCGGCTCCTAAACGTTACTGGGTCCGTCAGTTGTCCGGAGCGAAGGGTCGATCGCCGGATGACTTTGTGGGCCAGGGTAGCCCATCTGGGAGAACCCATCTCCGGCACCAGGCCATCTGCCAGCTGCCAATACAGTCGCTGCATCCATCTGCGCACGCTGTTCTCTCATTTTGTTCTCTTGCTCCTCCCTTCGCTGCTTCGCCTGAGCTTCTTGCTTCGCTGCTTGGGCAGGAGCCCTTGTCTTCAAGTCACCCGTAACGCCCTGCAAATACACAGGCACTTCGACTCCGCTCTTCAAAAAGAAGAGCTTCAAATTCCGTGCCTTGTCTTTCAGCTGCACCTGGTTGCGATCTTTGAGGATCTCCGATATAGTTCCTCCAGGGCCGTAGAGAGCGAGGATCTGGCTCCAGTGAGGACCTTTGACGCGGTCAAGACCATCCATGAGCGCGCGCTCTTCCTCAATACTCCAAGGCCGCCGCTGATTCGCCGCTCCTGGCTTCCGCGAGTTGGGCGGTGCGCGGACAGTCGACGCCGAACGCGCCCGATCATACAGGACCTGCGTCGGCGCGCTTTGAACTGCGATCGGACTCGGCGGGTTCGGTGCCTTGCTTGTGGGATATGATGGCTGGTGTTGCTGGGCGACTTGAGGGTATGCTTGGTAGAAAGATACATTCGGCTGCGCATCTGAACTACTGGTAGATTGTTGCCCGTGGAGCGCGGCATGGGCCATCAGCGCCGCTCTGGTGATTGTCTCATCATAGTTACCGCCGACCGCATCCTGCATCTGCTGAGAGTAATAGCCACCGGGACTTATACCCTGAGGACCGGCATTGCTGTACATTGACGAGTGAGAACTCTGGCGACTGGTGGCGGAGGCACCGTCCATATACTTCTGAATGCAGCTGTTAACCTCCTTGAGGAGATCGTTCCATGCGTGCTTCCTCGGAAGTAGGACTCGGGCCTCGACCGTGTCGCCCTCGGCGAGGAGCGACTGTCGTCGCTGAAGAGCAAACTTCACGAACTCCAACTCCGGGGGCAAGAGCTGCTTGATGTCAGGGTGCCGCGCGAGCATCTTCTCGGCGAGATTCTCCGGAAACAATCGGCCCATGACCTCATCGCGTTTCTCACCTTTCATCAACTCTTTGATGTAAGCCTGCGTCTTGAGCTCCACGTACAAACCACCGTGCCAATTCAAAAACCTGCCACCAAGGGGAATGAAGATGTCCAGGAAGTGTTCATTCAGCTCGTTGAGGCTGACCTCCTGTCCGCCGAATATACTGCTGACAAAGGCTGCCAAGTTGGCCTTGCGCACGGTGGGAAGGTGCTGTTGGCCATCAAGATGCAGGGCTTTCGCATCTATGAACGAGTTGCCTTGGCTGTATTGTTTGAAGCTTTGCTCGAAAAGCTCTTTGAGTGAAGCATACTCCTGGCCGGCCGGCGTGTCAATCTTGTTGATGACGTTCAGCGTGTCCTGAAAGGAATGCTGGCCGAGGGTGGCCAGGACTCGGCCCGACAGGTTGTCCAGCGCGGGCAAGGTTTTCACCAGCTCTGGATTCACTTCTGACGCTGGCGAGTATGGCTCGCTGTAAATGGGCGACTGTTGTGTGACAAACTGCGCGTCGTAGGAGGGCGCAAAGGGCTGTTGGGCCAAGGGCACGGCGAAGCCGTTGTCGTAGTAGCTGCCCGACATCTGGTTCCAGCCAGCGCCAAAAGGCGCCACGAAGCTCTCGGGGCCCGTGGTGGCCGTTGGGGTGTAGTTCACGGCGAAGGCATTGCTCTGGTCGGTGGAGACGGGCTGCTGCAATGGCAGGCTGCCGGCTTGAGCAGGCTGTGCGGGGTGCGGGCCATTGAGGGCTTGCGGGCCGAGAGGCTGCGACTTCAGGCGCTTCACGGGCGTACCTATGGCTTGAGCAGGGCGCTTGGGAGCGCGGCCGGCGGTAGGGCTGGTGGTTGAGGGCGCTGGAGCTGGATGGCCCGGGGCAACGGGCGCGTCGCTTGCTGGTGAGCGCGTCAGTAGGCTGGACCGGACAATCGCTCGAGAGCGACTCGCGGGCTTAGAGCCGCAGAGGAAGTGGAAGAAGATGCAGGGCCCATCGACATACAGAGATCCAGCGGTCTGACCATGTTCAAGGGTGTCAAGCCTCGCCGGGCCCTAAGACTAGGTAGCTTGAAGTCAAGAGGTGACGAGGGAGGAGCTTTGATCTCCGCCGGAGGCTCTCCGACGCCGCCCCACCAGCCAATTGCGCGCCGCCGTGCCTCGTCAAGCTGAGAACCGTCGGTGTGCCTCTTTGCCCGGCTATCAGGGGCTTTGATGCGCAGTGCTCACTCTTGTATTCATTCCAACGCAGCAAATCCCCGTCGCATTCGATTTGGTGCTGGTCGCGCAGTCTCAGGATGTCGCGACGCGCCCGCACTGATTGGCGCGGGGGGGAAATTGAGCCAGAGAGGACGTCGTTAATCATGTTCCCCGTCATACCCAGTCATGCTCCCCACCGTTTGTGGTTCCTTCCCTCGCACGCACCTTTCTGCCGGTGCTTCGAAGTGGGTATCCATGGACCCTCCGCTTGTAGGCTTGGGTTGCATTCACATCGACCGGCAACTTTATTTACGGCCTGTGCTACATCGTGCACATACAGCATTCCTCCCACCTCGGTCGTTAATCAGCTTGATTATGATTTGCTATCTTCCTAGGCCGCTTCTTCCAACTCCACGCACATTTGAAATGCACCCATTTTTCCGTCCTGAACGGTTCTTGGTGTATCGACATCCACATCGCCTTTGCATTCTATTCCGCTGCAAAGGCATCCAAACAGTTCCACCGGCTCCTTTACGTGCTGCCGGGGCCACCGAGCAGAGCGAAGCGGCGGACAATGCTGGGACCAATCTCATCGTACTCGGCCTTCGTGTGGCAGTAGCTCCTGAACTCGGGCGTCTGACCCAACAGACTACCGCCGAACCAGGGACCATGACGCTGCCTCTTGTGCGTGATGACCTGGACGTCCAGGCCACCACTCTTGGCACCACCGCTGCGCGCCTCTGACGCCTTAATACGTGCGTCAACCAAGTGCCTGATGTCACGCTGCAGACGACGACCAAAGTCTTTGTACAGCGTAGAGCCTCCAGACAGGACAATGTTCTTGTAGAGACCACGCCTGACATCGATGGGGCTGGTCTGGATGACGGTGTCGACAATGTTGGGCAACGGCGTCAGGAAGTCGCTGGAGTAGATCTCGGGGTTGAAGAAGATCTCGGGGGCGAGGAAGCGCTCGTAGCCGACATCGACCGTCACGCTCTTGCCGTTGGGGTACTTGACCTCGTGCTTGCCAAACCGATCGGGTTCCCTGTCGTACCTAGAGAACTCCTTGACAATATCGGGGGAGACGTAGCAGAACTCCTCCTTGATCCTTTCCGCCGTCTTCAGGCTGCTGTCAGGCTCGCCTCTGTCACGCAGCAGCTGCTGGACGAAGTATGTAATATCTCTTCCAGCGATGGGAACACTCTTGATGCTGGATCCAATGACGTATCCTTCCGCGACGGGGATAACGTGGGTGACACCCTCACCGGAGTCGATGACCGTACCCGTGAGCGAGCGGTCCGTAACCTTGGACGAAGTCCAGGAGGCAGCCAGCGCAAGGACTGCCTGCACGGCAATGTACAAACCGGCGCAGTTGAACGACTCGAACATGATCTCGGCCGTCATCTCGCGGTTCTCCGGAGGGTTCAACGGAGGCTCGGTCAGGAGGAAGTAGTGATCCTCAGGCTCGACGCGAAGGTACTTGAATATCGAATTGGACCAGAAACGCTCCATGTGGTCCTGGGCAACAGTTAGCATCCGCATAGCTAGCCAGAAGCGCGTGTTGGCACCTACCCAGTTCTCAATCTGACCGTGGCGGATGGGGTAGTGGATGCCATAGCCTGCTCAGGTTAACCAAAGCGCTCCGTTGCTCAGCGAATAGCCGTTTTGTTGTAGCGTACCGGGGCCAGCAGAGGCGGCCAGGGCCTCATCTCCGATGAAGAAGTCCAGGTCCTCGGTGCCGCGCTTCGCCGACAGGTGTCCGCCAGGGCCGGCGCCACCGGTAAGGAACGAGGGTTTGTTCGCAACAGCCGGGCGGCCGGATCCAGAGCCACCAGCACCTCCTGCGGCGGACTTGGTTGCGATGGCAGTGGGGAAGACGAACGAGGGGGAGTCGTTGCCAGCGAAACCTAGGCGCGTAGAGTCAGCAAGGAGATGGGTGATGGGCGGCGAAGATTGATCGCGTACCTAGCTTCGAGTAACCCGTACCGCTGTGGGTGGTTCAATTGTCAGTTGCGGGGGTCTCAGGCCAGCGGAGGGGATCTCGGCGGTGTCGGGGAGCTAGCTCACTTGTCCATGACAACGGCGGGAGTTTGGGTAGCCATGGTGAAGAGCGGGGCTGCTGGCTACAGCTCGGATTGGGAGGCGAAGCAGGGAGAAGTTGCAGGCAGGGGAAGATGTCCCGGCGCTGGATGTGGTGGAGGGCTGCCTGGTAGGGCTCGGGGGTGATGTAGGTCGTTGGAGGAGGGCGGACGCTCGAAACCCAATGGGGGCTCTCCGCGCCCCGCTGGGGCTGCATCATCGCTCCGCCCGCGCCAAGCTCCCGCCCTCTCCAGCGCTGCGCGCCAGACGATGTCGCGTCCGCACCGCTGCATCCTCATCTGCTCTCTTTAAGGCGGAGCATACGTTCGCTCCGCAGTCGCTGCTCTCGCAGCTCTGCCGACGCTTGGAATTACGGTTCCCCCGCTCAGAAGGGTGCCTCGTGCGTTCATCTCCAAGCTCAAGGGGCGGAGATCACGGTAGGCTGCATGTACTGTCGACGCGTGCAGTCTGTTTAACAGCAGATAGCCGTAGCGCAGTTTCTGGCAGTCACGGCTCTGATGGAGCCATGAAGACGGTTAGGGCATGTGGGCTCTAGTATCCACGCGCTCTTGCCGGCTTCACTATGGAAGGCGTCAACCTCGTGTGCCACCCGCAACCGCATCCTCTACTCTCGCCCGCTGACTCTGCTCCATTTCCTCAACGTCACCCCTTCGCTCTTCTTCTCCCTACCCGCCACAAGCCCTCTGCGCTCGTTCTTTTACCGACGTGACCCGCGTGCGGAAGAGCGTGACAACCCAATCGAGGTCGCCATTCTTTTTCTGGGTCATCCTCGTCTTCCATCCTTATAACTACCAACAAGCCCGCGAGACATAATCGCTCCGGTGCCGCCGCGCCACTGCGCTGCCCACGTGTCGCCTCACGCAACACGGTCGCCGCTCGCCGCAAGACGCAAGACTCACCGCACGTGCCATCGCCCTGCTAAACGCCCAGTCCTCCATTCGTGGCTGCATTGCCACAACAGCGAAGACAACCTCCTCTCTTGCATGGCTCTTCGGACCAGCTGAAGTACCGGCTGAAAGAGGTTGACAAGCTGAACCGGCCATCGGAACGTGACTTGAGGCTGCTCCGCTTTGGACGCCGCCTCTTGTTCTGGAAAGAGATCAAGCCTGCTACACCTTCCGTGGAGCAATTGAGACCAGCTTCTGACGGAGCCATGTCATACTATGGGGGAAGAGGCCGTAGAGGCGGTGACATATGCGCAATCTTTGTGCATGCTGGAGCAGGCTACCATAGCATACAGAACGAAGGTCTGCACCTGCAAGCCTGCAATGAGTGAGTCAAATACTCCCAAAGGGCATTCTGCTACCAGTTTCTGAGCCATCCTTTACTAAGCCAAAAACCATAGTGCTGCGAAGGCTGCCATGGCAATCCTTCGCAATGGAGGCACCGCTATAGATGCGGTAGAGATTGCGATCAAAATACTCGAGGACCGCGAAATCACGAACGCCGGCTATGGGAGCAACCTCTCTATGGACGGCATAGTTGAGTGCGACGCTATAGTCGTGGATCATCTCGGACGCAGTGGTGCCGTCGGCGCGGTTGCTCGTGAGTTCAGAGTCGCTCTCCCCGTGACAACATTCTAACGTTACGACAGAAATCAAGAATCCCATATCTCTGGCGCGTATGATACTTGACCGCACAACCAAGCCATTGCTCCTGAAGCGCGTTCCTCCGAATCTTCTCGTTGCTCAAGGTGCAACCGACTTCGCATTTAGCCAAGGCATGCCAGTTCTTCCTTATGATGCAATGGTCTCCCCAGCTGCCCGAGAACGTTGGGTCAAATGGAGGTCTGATTTGGCGCATGCGGAACGGAAGACGTCTCGCATCGTGGGTCCGCCTATAACTCAGCCTGAATACGTCCCTGAGATGTTGGATCCGCTTGAAGAGGAAAGAGAGCGCAAGCGGCTGCGTTCACAGCACACTCAAGCCATGCTTCGTGGCATGCCTGCTTCGGCTAAGAGTACCACATCTACTAAATCCACTTCCTCTTCGCCAAGCTCGAACACGACATCAGGATCTTCTGGGAGCTGCATCTCCGCATCAGAACCGACCTCGGCCGCTCTCAATGAAAGCGGCCCTGAACAAGGCGCATTCAGAGAGGCAACACAAAATCCCTTGATCAATAGCACTCAAACTGTACCCACGATGGCGTCTCTTTCAGGTAACGATCAGGTTGATAGGAGTTCCACGCCTGATATCAGTATGAGCGATGCCTCCGAACAAGCAGGCAACCAGATCTACCATGCAGGAGAATTCCGCGAGCGACGGTCTCGAGCGTGGAACGATGGATCGGGGGAAGAGTCGGATTCATCTTGTGCAACACTTCAGCTTCCGTCTCTTACTCCGACCCCTCCTCCTCAGGAAGCATTCGAGCAACCTCTTCCAGAGACGCCCGTCAAAGAGAGCAGACGTACTCTTCAGCGTACCTCCACTGAACTTCGCCACGTCGTTGATCATGCTCCTTTGCCGCCTCCACCAGAACCTCGGCGAGTCTCCAGCCAGGATAATTCAGCTCAGCAGAGGCAAGATCAGACCTCCCACCAAGAGCCTCGTCTCGATCTTATAACCGATACTGTTGGTGCCATTGCGGTTGACTGTTATGGCAATATTGCGTGCGGAGCCTCTTCTGGTGGTATTGGCATGAAATACCAAGGACGGGTCGGTCCAGCGGCCCTCGTTGGCGTCGGGGCAGCTGTGGTACCGTGCGATCCCGACGATAGGGACAAAGTCTCAGTGGCCACTGTTACCAGCGGTACCGGCGAGCACATGGCTACCACAATGGCCGCAACTGTCGGGGCTGAGAGACTCTATCACAGCTTGAAGAAAAACAAGGAGAACAAACTGCAGCCCGTATCCGAGGAAGATGCTGTTAAAGGCATGGTTGAGAAGGAGTTTATGGGTAAGAGCACTTTTCCCCTTGGAATTCTGTCGTTTGACCTTGGATATTCTAGGCCACCCAAGCGTCAAAAATAGTCACTCCGCCGGTGCCATCGGAGCGATGAGCGTCAAGAAGACCCGCGACGGTGTTTACTTCTACTTTGCTCACAATACCGACTCCTTTGTAAGTCAGGGCCGCTCGTGAGTTTGCATATATGATCTCAGGGACTGACATAGGCACCAGGCGTTGGCATCCATGCACTCCGATGAAGATAGGCCGACGTGTACCATGTCTCGTAGTGTGGGGCCCGGCATCACAGCTCAAGGTGGTCGCTGTCTGCGTTATAAGCGCAAGCGGTAGTTACGGCCCTTGCTGACTGGCATCTCTTACGGGTCTTTTTTGACTGGCGTTTCTCTCTTGAGAGGTGGTCCCTAGATACGTTTGCTTTTCCACAAATCACGATACCACAACCTGGCTGCACAGTGGTTGGCTTATGACCTCAGTAGACCTTACATAGCGAAAGGAGTTTGCTCACTTCCTTTATTCTAGTGACCAATTGCACACCTATTGCAACTCTTCTATACCATACGCCCATCTGGTCATAGTGCGATCCGCTTTCTGATTCCTGTGTCGGTGGCTGGTTCTGACTGCTCCGATAGCATCCGCCCGACCATCCCTTTTGGACACTTCCACTGACTTCTACTTTTGTTAAGCGTGCCAAAGCCTATGCCTTTCGTGATTTTTTTTTGGACATAAATCAAACATTGACCATCATATTAAACCAGCCATAAAGCCCTATGATCATCCTCGAAATCATATAGCTGCTCAAACTACCTCTAACCATTAAACAGGCAACAGAGCATGTGCATAAGATGCGAGGTATCCAGGGAGAACGCCCAGCTACACGAAACCCCGCCCCACAGTAGCATGGTCCAATAGTTTCACTGCCATTTATGTCTTCGGTACAGCTGGGGCGCTGCTTATAGGGAGTAGCAATGATGCACAAAGTCAAGGTATGCACATGTGTAACGAGTTACAGTTACGGTAAGTTAACTTTCGGCCTTGGCTCTGAGCATTGAGTCGTTTGCCAAAATCTTGCAATTCTATCTTGACGAGTCTCGCACATATCCTTGTGGATACTCGTCACGGGATGAAAGGCATCCGCTCCTGTAGTGGTACAGAAAATACATATCAACATATTCAACCCTCCTCTTTCCCGGCCGTAGTTGCGACCGAGGTGCAGATGATATCTTCCCATTTTGCCCTAGCCGTTCATACATCCAATGGCTGTACTCCACCAAGAAATCAGTGGTTGCGAAGATGCACAGCCGCCATAATTCCTTGCCCATACTAATCGTCCGCTCCGCCCATTCGCTCTCGCCCGAGCTGCCCGCTCCCTGGTTTTTCTGAGCCATTTCTAGTCCGGAAGAAAAGGACAGACACATGAACTATATCAATGGACGTTTCCGCCGTAGTACACCTTCCGCACATCGACCAACTTCCTGCCACGAGCGCGAGCGATGTCCTCGGGCAGCTTCTGGCCGAGCAAGGCTTCCCAAGTAGCCTTGATCGTGTTCATCTTGTTGCGGGAGCGGGTGACGCGGGCGGCCAAGTCGTGGATGCCGGCCGCGCGGGCCATTTCGAAGATCAGGTGCTGGCAACGGAGACCGAAGCCTGGCAAATCACAAGAAAGTCAGCACTGAATTTGGAAAACGAGAGAGGAGGGGCTGGTTCCTACCTGGCGGCCTAGCACTGAGCTTCAGCTCGACGGCGCCGACCTTGCCCTCAACTTCGCCGTAGATGGTGCGGCCCTCGTAGCGCACGACGGGCTTCATGTTGCGGATAGCGTTCATGACGGATTGGCGGCGGCCATCTTCGGGTTCGGTGCTCTTTCCCTCGCCAATGCCGAGCATTCCATTACCGTCGCCGGCGATGGTCAAGTAGTACATGGACGATACCTTGCCGAGGCGGGTCTGGTTGACGACACGGCGGACGACAAGAGTCTTGAGGCGCAAACGGCGAATCTCGCCCTTGCTCATGCCTGTCTGCTTTGTCAGGCGGGCCATGTTTGCCTCCTCATCGCCTTCGCCGCTACCGCCGCCAGAACCCGCCCTCGGCGCCAGCTCATCGATCTTGGGCAGCTCGGGCGCCAGCACGGTGTAGCTGTCGTCCTCGAGCGCACGGTAGCCCTCCTCGCTGTTGGCGTGCATGAAGGTACGCGGATTGTCCAGAAACTGCAGATACCGCACGCGACTCTTCTCCTCTTCCTCCTTCTCGGCGCGGGTGCCGGGCTGAATGCCAAGCGCCTCGACGCGCTCGGCCTCCTGGACGTAGAACATGGCCAGCAGCTCGGACATCTCGTCTTCAGTACGCGGACGGATGCTGTAATCGGCGTAGGGGTCGAGCTCGGCCTTCTGCGGCTTGTCCAGCACGGGCTGCAGTCGGCGCAGGTCGTCGATCTGGTACTTGAGCGCCATCGGGTCCCAATCGCGGTTGTTGTTGGGACTCTTCCAGCCCTGCACCAGCAGATCGCGCGGATCCAGTGCCTGCTCGCCTGCCTCAATGGCGGCCAGCTGCTCAGGCGTGTACTTGGCCGCCAGCACTTCCTTGTCCTTCTCGCTAAACGTCGGGAATTCGGACCCCGCGACCTCCTGCAGGCGCTTCATGTCTTCGACTTTGATGGAAGGGTAGTGCGGCTTTCGCCGTTTGCTGTGCGCAGGCGACGCGTGGAACTGGCGGCGGAGGAAGGTGGTGCTATCTGCGGAGGCGGCGGCGGTGGGCGTTGTTGCGGACCTGGCGACGGCGGATGCTCGTGCGAAGAGACATCTTGCAGGGCGGACGGCGGTGCTCATGGCGGGAGCAGGTGGTCAATGCCCGAATCGGAGGCAATTGAGGCGGGCCGGGGGCCGTTGGGGGCGGGGGGCGCACGGTAGACGATGGTGTTGACGACCGGGAGCGGTGGTGTAGGTGCGCTACTTCTCGGCGAAAGAGCTCACGCGCATCAGCGCTTCTTTTTCGGTGGTCGAAAAATTAAGCTTTTTTGGGGCCGCAAATCCGCCCGCGTCAGCACATCCAATCGCAGCCCGTCGTTTTCCTCTGACTGAACCTCGTCTGCACTTTTTTTCCGTGACAGTCCCCGAGCGCCAGCACGTGGATGAACGCCTTCACCGGACGCACTGCCCTGCAGACTTTGGTAAGAGCCAGCTGCGCTTTTCCACGCCGCCGCCAGTACACCATGGCTTCTCCGGCCAACAACGTCGCCCCCGTCGAGAGCAACGGCCGCAAAAGGGCTTTTGAGGGTGCCCGCAACTACCGTTTCAAGAAGCAAAAGAAAGAGAAGGACCAGAAGCAGTCGGTGCTGAAGACCGAGGGCACCCATGAGGAGGTTCTGCTGAAAGACGTCGAGGCGCTGCTGAGAAAACATTCAATCATCGACACCCCGTCCGAACCCAACGCTGAGGCGAATGGAGAATCAAGCCCTGCCTCACTCCCGGATCCTTTCACCGAGGTTGAACTCACGGTGCAGGAAATCTCTTCGACTGGTGACGGGCTTGCGCTGGCTCCGAACTCGAACCAAGTGTTCGTCGTTCCTTTTACCACTCCCGGCGATAAGGTCAAGGCCAAGGTCGTGAAGCACTTCACAAAGGAGCGCTACACCTTGACAGACTTCATCCAGGTCCTCAGCCCAGGATCTCTAAGAAATGACTCGCTTGTAAACTGCAAGTACTTTTCTTCTTGCTCCGGCTGCCAATTCCAAATGCTGCCATACGAGGCGCAGCTGGCACATAAGAAGACTATTGTCGAAAAAGCCTACAAGAACTTCTCCGACTTGGCACCAGAGCTGGTGCCAGCGGTTGCCGACACGATTGGCTCCCCCCTGCAGTTTGGCTACCGCACCAAGCTAACTCCGCACTTTGATGGCCCGCCGGGTAAGAAGAGGAGTGATGGTCGCCATGGCATCCGGAGAAAGTTTGAGCAAGTTCCGCCTATTGGTTTCATGAAGAAAGGGACCCGCCAGACTCTTGACATTGAGGACTGCCCCATTGGTACCGATGCTGTCCGCATGGGAATGCAGAGCGAGAGAAAGCGTGTGGCGGTCGAGTTGGACAAGTACAGCAAAGGCGCCACAATCCTCCTCCGCGAGAGCACCAAACGCCTTCCCAAAGACCCGGCGCCACAGCCGCGCGACGATGCCATCCTGGAGGACCGCGGCGCACATTTCCACGAGAAAACCTGTGTCACGGACCAGAAGGGCCGCACGACAGAGTATATCGACGACTTCAAGTTCGAGAACCCGGCCGGCGCCTTCTTCCAGAACAACAACTCCATCCTCCCCAAATTCACCCAGTACATCCGCGACCGTATCCTTCCCCGGGGAACCGACCCTGCGGACCCCGACCGCAAGATTAAGCACCTCATCGACGCTTACTCGGGCTCCGGGCTCTTCACCATTACTCTCTCGCAAATGTTCAAGAAGTCGCTCGGCATCGACATCTCGTCGTCGTCGATTGAGTTTGCGTCGACGAACGCGCGTCTCAACAACCTCGCCGAGGACCATGCCGCCTTCATCGCCGCCGACGCCGCCAACCTATTCGCATCCATCGAGACCCCTGCCGACGAGACTGTCGTTGTCATCGATCCTCCGCGTAAGGGCTGCGACGATCTGTTCCTCCGTCAGCTGCTGAGATACAGCCCTGCCCGCGTCGTCTACGTGAGTTGCAACGTGCACACCCAGGCGAGAGACGTAGGCATTCTTGTCAATGGTATGGAAGGCGTGGATGGCGGTTTTGGACCCGGTAAAGGCGTGTATGAGATCGAAAGCTTGGTGGGCTTCGACTTCTTCCCGCAGACGGGGCACGTGGAGGGCGTGGCAGTGTTGCAGAGGAGGAACGAGGCAGCGCCGGTTGAGGTGGGGAGGGGGGCATGAGGAAGAGGTGGATCAAAAGAGATATAGATATATGGTGGGATGGGTTTCATACAAGAGCGGACCCATTACACATCTTTTTAGCGGAAACATGACTTTCTTTTTGGATACTTCGATTCATTTGTCTGTCACTCATCACCACGCCTACTTCTGCGAGTCACATTCGCTGATCTTTTCAGATCCGCCTGGTCAGTTTGTTGTCCGGTAAACATGGTCATATCCGAATCTAACAGAGTCCAGGTGTCGTCTCTAATACTGCTCGGCTAAAATCGCCGGGTAGGTAAGCGCGGGACCCAAGGACTAAATTAGCAAGAAGTTTGCCGACTGCTCTAGCATGAACCTCTTGATGGCAGAAACGGCCGGTGAATTTGAGATGGCTTCCAAAGGGCCTCGGCATCTTCAACGGGCGATGCAACGCCAATCGTCACAATTAAGACCAGTGCACCGCCGGAGCAGCGCATCCGGCTTACTGGCAGACATCAGCGAAAGAGTGGGTGCGCCCTGAGCAGTATTGGCTACATGTCATGTTTGTTTCCGGCCAGAACCCACTGTCTATTTCTATCGCTGCTGACCAGAAGTGAACCCAAGATGATCATAAGGACGCAACTGCGGGGTAGCTTGCCCAGAGTCCGTCAGCACTAGGCGATTTTCCCCAAATGGGAAATAAAGATGCACATTGATAAGCTTAAAGGGAGGTGATGGGGGGGCTAAGATGCAGCCATAAGCAGCCAGTCCACGTATATCCTCAGCATAAAAGCGCAGGGCACAACCTTACCCTGAAACCAGAGGAACAGCTTGCTCGTCTTTTCCTCCGCACTCTGGCCTCCAAAATCCTATCGATCCGCCAAGAATCACAATGGGTGACGCAACAAATGGTACCAACGGCATCGGCGGTGCCTCTCATACCCTCCCCGCTCTTGTCACCTCGGCGTCGACCTTTCTTGAGCAGGATTACGACTACGTCATTATCGGCGGCGGCACGGCAGGCCTCGTGCTTGCTGCGCGGCTGACGGAGAATCCGGATGTCAGTGTTGGCGTGTTAGAAGCCGGAAAGAATAAACTCAACGATCCCCTTGTCGACACTCCTGGGCTATTCATGCAAATGCTGGGGAACCCTGAATATGACTGGAACTGGAAGACTACGCCACAGGCGAGTTTGCTCCTATCCCCTGTCTGTCTTTGGCTGGCTGACTTGTGTGAGAATAGGAGGGTACTGGTGGTCTGGTGCACAACATAGCTCGCGGGAAGGTGCTCGGAGGGTCTAGTGGCATCAATTACATGATGTGAGTTCCCTTGGTGGCAAGAAGACATGTTTGCGTTGCGACTGAGAAATATCGCACCACAGGTATGTTCGCGGCTCGGAGCGCGACTACGACGACTGGGCGGTCCTAGCCGATGACCCAGGTTGGGGCTTCGCGAACATGCGCCAATACATCACCAAGCATCAGACGCTGGAGCCGATTCCGGACAGCATAACCAACCGCGTGGCCATGTCCACTGTTGACGTCAATCACGGTTTGTAGATCCGCAGTTCACTGTACTAACGCGCCGAAACTCACGCTTCTACAGGCACCTCCGGCCCCATCCACACCTCGTTCAACGACACACGGCTCGACATTGAGGACGCTTTCATCCTCGGTGCAGACCAAGCATCTGGAATCACCCAAAAGCCCGTCGACGCATGGGGCGGTGACCACTACGGCTTCTACAATGGCCTGGGCAGTGTATACCGAACGGGACCGCTCGCCGGGAAGCGCAGCTACGCGGCGCGCGGCTACTTTGAAGCCAACGCCTCCCGACCGAACCTCAAAGTCCTCTGCGAGGCGCCTGTATCCTCCATCATCCTCGACGCGGATAACAGGAACGCGGTGGGGGTGGCATTCACGCACGGAGGGGAGAGGCACGAAGTGAGGGCTCGGAGAGAGGTTCTGCTGTGCGCCGGTGCGATCCAGTCTCCGCAGGTGTTGGAGCTGTCGGGAATCGGCAAACCGGAGGTGCTCAGAAAGGCAGGCGTCGAAGTCAAGGTCGATCTGCCAAGTGTGGGCGAGAACTTCCAAGATCATGTCGTTGCGGGCGTTGGGTATGAGCTTGCGCCGGGAATCATCTCGGGGGACAGCCTGTGGCATCCGGATGCAATGGCTGAGGCACAGAAGGCCTTGATGGAGCATGCACTTGGTCCGTTGACAGCCACTGCGAGTGGACAGGGATTTGTCAGGTGAGGCTTGCGTTCTGGGGAAATGGCGAGAGCTGACACGGGCTGGATGTAGCTACAAGCAACTGGCGACCGAGGAGGAACTCAACGAGACGATCGCCAGCATCCGCGAGACGCAGAAGACATCGTCACGTACGTCTCAGATTCCACAAGGCACTTGCAAGATCTCTGACCCCTGTTAGCCTTCCAACGACGTCAACTCGACCTTATTGTCAACCATCTCGAAGACGACAGATCGGCTAATGTTCAGTACATCCTCATTCCGGCCAAGGCCAACTTATCTGACGAGTCCATAATGGACCAGTCCAAGATGTGGCTGCCCGGGAACCCAGAGAAGCCTCAAATCGTCTGGGGTTGCGCCTTACAGTACCCCGTGTCTCGAGGCTCTGTGCACATCACGAGTGCCGGTAAGAATATCATCCACCCCCCTGTCGAAGAAATCCTATCTCCCCTCCTCTCTCCCAGCCACTGACACGAAGACACCACAGACCCCACCGCTCCACCAAACATCGACCCCTCTTACCTCAGCCACCCCGCCGATGTCGCCGTCCTCGCATCAGGCATGAAGCTTGCCGACCGCATTGCCAACTCGCCCGCCCTGGCGCCGCTGTTGGGGGCGCGCACCAGCCCCGCGCCCGGTGTTGACCTGCAGCAGACGGCCGCGGCCGCGGCCGCCGTGCGCGCCTGGAGCATCGGCGAGTACCACGTTGCGGGCGGCTGCGCCATGGGCGATACCGTGGATAGCAAGCTGCGCGTGAAAGGGGTGGGGAACCTGCGGGTCGTCGATGCGAGCGTGTTCCCGAATCACGTTAGTGGAAACTGCCAGAGTAGTGTGTATGCGCTGGCGGAGAGGGCGGCAGATTTGGTCAAGGAAGCATGGTGAGCTTGCGGTTGGTTACCCTTTCTGGAATTTGCTGGATAAGAGAGAAGCGTCACGGCAGTGAAGTGTTTTCTTACTGGTCTCGGTTACTTTCTAGTGAAGAGGCAACATCTTTTCGTATTTGTCGACTGCTTCATTATGATGACGCATATAAACTATCCACTGAAGCATGGAACTAATGACACTGTTTTTCTTTACACGTGCAACTCTACACGTCAGGACTCATAGACCTTCTCGAACGAGGCGAGGAGGCGGTCGCCGTATGTGATGGTCCAGGGCGTTTTCATGTTGAATGTGACGACGCTACTCCCTCTTCCTACTCATCCTTGGCAACCCCATCCAAAATATCCAACACCCAACTATCAATGCAAGCACAAAGGGCTGCAGCACCTGCACGCCTTTCTTCTGCGCAATGGCGCCGACGGCGAACGGAAAGACGGCGGCTCCGCTACCACCAATGGCGGCGGCAAATCCAATGGCACTGACATGCAAATGCCTCGGGAGCAACTTGGTCGCCGCAACGACGGCGCCCGGAAACATGGGGCCTAGGAAGAAGCCCTGGAAGGCGACGGCGATGGCGGACAAGAGGAAGCTCGGCACGAGCCAGAACAGAAGCTCGAGGGCGGCGCAGATGGGCAGGTAGATGGCGATGGCCAGCTTCTCGCCGATGCGCGGCGTGACGAAGCCGAGGGCGACGCGGCCGACGGCCATGCCGAGCCAGAAGCCGGTGGCCGTCATGCCGGACGCGAAGGCGGCGCCGCCACGGACGCGCAGCATGAAGGTCACGATCCAGCCGCCGAGCGCGACCTCGACGCCCACGTAGACGAGCAGGAAGAGCGCGCAGAGCCAGGTCACGCGGGCCGCGGGCAGGCGGGTGAGGGCTTCGCGCATGCGGTTTTCGTGCGAAGACGACGTCTTTGGATTTTGCGAGCGGAAGACGGCGGCCGTGGCATGCCAGAAGGTCGCCAGGCAGAAGGCGAGTTCGAGGACAGAGCAGCCGACCTGCAGAGAGTGGTTAGTGACGGATAACAGAGCAGGAGATAGGAGGCTATTCCGGTGTTTCAAGGAGCGGAGCCATTATTGCAGCGCTTGAAGCGGAGGAGGGACATACCATGACATAGTAGAAGTCGAACCACTGTAAGCTCGCCTTTGTGATCATACTAGTAGCGATGAGAGGGCTGACAGTGGCACCGACGCTGTAGAGGCCGTGCAGGAAGCCGAGAATCTCGTTGGCGTTGGCCATTGCCCCCATCCATGCGTTCCAGCCAGCATCCTCGAGGCCGTTGCCGAAGCCAGCGAGCGCGAAGACGACGACCAGAACAGGATAGGGTGGGTGCACGCATATGACGACGTAGGCAATGATGTGGCAAAAGGGGCCGAGAAATGCTATGCCGCGCTGGCCGAACTTGAGGTGAATGGTGTTGTTGAGCAGAGCAGAGGCGCAGTAGCCGATCAGCGGCGACAGAAAGACGAGAGACACGACCGTGTACGAGAGGCCATAGTATTGCTCGAGCTGTAGAAGAGTTAGTGGCGAAACTGCAGCGAGGAAGGCGGGCATTACATATGGAAGCAGGGCTCCATATGCAGCGTCATTGGCTCCCATGATGAAAAAGCTCCAGAAAGCGGAGAAGGTACGCCACATGTTGACCCGGGGGTTGTTCCATCTCTGCAGCTTCTCCGTGGCGGTCGTGGGCGAAGGCAAAGTCTCGATTGGATCCTCATCAGGACCTTGGGACAGCGACAAGCTCTTGATGCTTTGAGGTCCTTGACGCTTTACAGCCGGTGGCTTGGCAAGGGCTGTGTCTTGAAGTTCGATGACACAAGTCGACGAGCCGCCATGGTGGGCAGACTGCAATGACATGGCTTCGAGTAGAGAACACACAAAAGAAAGGGCTCGATTTCCTGGGGGGAAATTCGAAAAGACGAAGGGGTAGGGTGAGTTGACTCGGCCCGCATGAAATAGCAGCGGGCCCCTACAAGCTACAACGAGCAATGCAGCGGTGCCACGACAGACTCACATGGTGAGGGACATGTACGAGGGGCAAAATAGAGAGCAAATGAGGAGAAGATGCGGTGATGATGTAAGCCTCCGCAAACGGAGACGTCTGGGGAAGCAGCGGCCCCGGGCCGACTTCCATCCACTCAGCGAGCGCGGCCAAGGGCCGGCAGAAGTCCGCCGCCATCACGATTGAGGCTCCGCCCTTACTCGTCCAAGCTTGCATCACCATCCCCGCGTCATGGAAGCCGTCGACGCGACGGAACGCAGCTACAAAGGCTTTGAGGGTACCGAGCACCCGCCTGCCCTCGTGGTTCCAGATTGCTCATCCATCTGCAGGCCCGCCTCCATCTCTGCTGACCATCATCATTGACACCAACCCACATGCCTGGGCCTACCTTTCTTCGACCCTGCCGCTGTCCAAGGCCATCGCGAACCTGCTCGTCTTCATAAACGCACACCTTGCCATCAACTCGGCCAACCAGGTTGCCGTGCTCGCAAGCCACACGCAACACGCAACATGGCTGTATCCCACCCCACACCCGCCAAAGGCCGCAGCCCGCAACGCCACGAATGGAAGCAATGGAAAGGTCGACGGCGATGTGGACATGGCAGACACGCCGAGCATGGATGATGCAAACAAATACCGCCCCTTTCGCAACGTCGAGACGGAGCTGCTGGCCAATCTGCGCGCGCTGATGTCGCAGACCAGCGAGGCCGACCTGAAAGCCAGCACCACGACTCTGGTCGCCGGCGCTCTCACCACAGCGCTTGCCTACATTGCGAAGGCCAACATCAAGTCAGCCCCGCACGTGGGCGACGGCAACGCGGCCGACCTCGCCGCAGCTGCCGACGCACCCACCGCTCGCTCCACGCTGACCTCGCGCATCATGGTGCTCAGCGTGTCGGGCGACTTGGCCTCGCAGTACATACCCGTAATGAACGCCATCTTCGCTGCCCAGCGCCAGCGCATCCCCATAGACATCCTGAAGCTGGCCGGTGATACCATCTTCTTGCAGCAGGCGTGCGATGCCACTGGCGGCATCTATCTGCAGCCTTCAGCCCCCGAGGGGCTGTTGCAGTACCTCATGATGGCCTTTCTGCCCGACGAGACGGCGCGGAAGCACCTGGTGTTGCCAAGCGCTGGCGAAGTGGATTTCCGGGCAGCCTGCTTCTGCCACAGACGGGTCGTCGACGTCGGCTACGTCTGCTCCGTGTGCCTGAGCAGTAAGTCGTCGAGATGGCAGTCGACTATGCAGCCGGGCTAACGTTTTAGTCTTCTGCGAGCCGCCCGCCGATCAGACGTGCCCCACGTGCACCAACCAGCTATCCGTTTCGAGCTCCATCACCCGGGTGCCGGCGCTGATTCCCCGGAAGAAGAAGAAGAGAAAGAGGGTTGCGGGCGAGGCCACGCCTGGAGGGGCGGCCACGCCGGGCACCCCCGGCGGCGGAGCGACGCCGATTCCCTCGTAAAGTCGTGGTGTGATATCATTTTCCCTTGGGACGGGCGCGGCGTTGGTCGGGATAAAATAAGTGGGCTTTTTTTCACGGCATTCGGGAGGGGAATGGCATATGCGGAGGCGTTCTGGGCTTGAAAGAGATCGGCTAATTAGCGCAACAGTTCTCGCGCGGGACGAAATGGCAGGGCTTGACAGGCACCAGAGGCCAACGGTTGGTCCGTCGCTTTGAAACCTGGGTTTGGAAGCATGGCCCCCGCCGCGATGCCCAGGAACCAGGACGCAAGCAGATGCAGCAGCTGCTGCACAGCGGACATTGTAGCAGGTCACGTGGGAGAGGCGAGGCGAAGTCGGCTCCGGTGGCCTGGTTTGGAGAAGCGGTGGATTCCTGGCAGAGATGGTGACGAACACGAGATGGACCCAGGGTAGTTGAATACCATGCTTGCGGGGGTCTTTTCAACTAGGGTAGCTCCGTACCAGAGCGGGCAGCGATCGGCACGGCCGGGGTAAGCTCTGGCAAGCTTCCAGCTCCGGCTGCCTCGCCCGCGCTTGGCTTGCGCTGCGGCTTAAGCCACCTCCGCGCGCCTTCCATGTAACGTCGAACTGCCTGCCCCGCATCCTCGCCCGCAACAGCGTCGCATTGACACGGAAGATTTCTCGCCGCACCCCCAGGGTACCTGATCTCCGCCGACGTCCACCCCTCCCCATTGGCCAATTGTTTCGCCTCGGCCCCGTTTCTCGCGAGGTTCTTTCGTTATTTCTTCGCTTGATGGCGCCGGACCTGACTGCTGTGTTGTGATGTGATGATGTGCACGTCCTACCCCATCCCACCGGGGAGCCGTCTTGGTCCCAGTGTGGGCGGAGGAGCCATGGCGGCATTTAAAAGGCTCCCCAGATTCCACTTTCGCTGCCTCACGCTCTGACGCAGCGAGAGGAAACCGCCGTAGCTACCATGAAGCTCTCCACCGGTTTACTGGCGGCGAGCCTGGCGTCTCAGGCCCTGGGCGCCGCCATCTCTGCCGGCAAGCCCAATGACCTGATCAAGCCGTACAAGCGCGAAGCTCTGCAGGACATCGTACGTCTCTTGGCCGTTGCGTAGACTAAGCCTGCTGATGTCGAGCCACTAGGTCACTTGGGACGAGCACTCCATCTTCGTCAACGGCGAGCGCATCATTTTCCTCAGCGGTGAATACCACCCGTTCCGGTATGCACCTGTTCAAGCCATGTCAGCACAGGCGTTAACGTACGCTACCTCAGACTTCCCGTTCCTTCGCTCTGGCTCGACGTCTTCCACAAGATCAAGGCCCTGGGCTTCAACGGCGTGTCGTTCTACGTCGACTGGGCTCTGCTGGAAGGCACCCCCGGCGAGTTCAGCGCCGAGGGCGTCTTCGCCTGGGAGCCTTTCTTCGACGCCGCCAAGGAGGCCGGCATCTACCTGCTCGCTGTGAGTCCCCATGCAGCCGCCCTCGACCAGCACGCACTGACAGACCCAGCGTCCCGGTCCTTACATCAATGCCGAGGTTTCCGGTGGTGGTTTCCCTGGCTGGCTCCAGCGCGTCAATGGCACGCTGAGAACCGACGACGAGGCCTTCATCAATGCTACCGACAAGTAGGTTGCTCTGTCCAGAGCTCTCGGTGCAAAGCTGACCGACCCACCAGCTACGTCAAGAACATTGGTGAGATCATCGCCAAGGCCCAAATCACCAACGGCGGCCCTGTCATCCTCTTCCAGCCGGAGAACGAGTACACGGGCGCTGTCGATGGCGTTGAGTTCCCCAACGAGCGCTACTGGGCCATTGTCGAGGAGCAGTTCCGCAACACTGGCATTGTCGTCCCCTACATCAACAACGACGCTTCGCCTCAGGGATACTTTGCTCCTGGCTCCAACTGGACCCCGCAGGTCGATATCTACGGCCACGATGGCTACCCGCTTGGCTTTGACTGCGCCAACCCATACACTTGGCCCGACGGCAAGCTGCCCACAAACTGGAGGGATCTGCATGAGGAGCAGAGCCCCAGCACTCCTTACTCAGTCATCGAGGTATGACCCACGTCACTCTTGGTTGGTGCCTCTGCTCACAAGACGTCCAGTTCCAAGCCGGTGCCTTCGACCCCTGGGGCGGTCTTGGTTTTGACCAGTGTGCCGTCTTGCTCAACCACGAGTTTGAGCGTGTCTTCTACAAGAATCTCCAGAGCTTTGGCGCTACCATTCTGAACTTTTACATGGTACGTCCTGCCGTCTTCCTGTTGACTAGTCTCGGTATTGAAGCCTTGTAGATCTTTGGCGGCACCAACTGGGGCAACCTCGGCCACCCTGGCGGCTACACCTCTTACGACTACGGATCCGTCATCAGGGAGACGCGTGAGATCAACCGTGAGAAGTACAGCGAGCTCAAGCTTCAGGGCAACTTCCTGAAGGTCTCCCCCGCCTACCTGACTGCCGAGCCTGGTGAGCTGTCCAACGGCTCTTACGCCAGCACTCCCGAGATCGCTGTGACTCCGCTGCTGGGCAATGTCACCAACTTCTTCGTTGTCAGGCATGCTGCCTACAACTCGTTGGAGTCCACCCCTTACACCATTACCGTCCCAACCAGCAAGGGCGACCTTACCCTCCCGCAGCTGAACGGCACTTTGACCCTGAATGGCCGCGACTCCAAGGTCCACGTCACCGACTACGACCTCGGCGGAGAGAACCTACTCTACTCGACGGCTGAGATCTTCACATGGCAAAAGTACGACGACAAGACGGTTCTCGTCGTCTATGGCGGCCCCAACGAGGCACACGAGCTCGCCTTTTCCAGCGGCAAGAACGCCACTCTCATCGAAGGCTCGGGCGTAACCATCACGGCCAAGGACGGCGCCACCATCCTCCACTGGTCTGTGACGCCGACGCGTAAGATCGCCAAGGTTGGCGAGAGCCTCTACGTCTACATCCTCGACCGCAACTCGGCCTATAACTACTGGACTCACGACGACATCGTCCTGCAAGCCGGATATCTCATCCGAAACGCTTCGGTCGACGGCACCACCTTGTCCATCGTCGGTGACCTCAATGCGACCGCCACGCTCGAAGTCATTGGTGGTGCACCAAGTGGCCTGACCAAGCTGACCTTCAACGCTGAGGAGCTCGAATTCGACCAGTCGTCCACGACCGGCGCAGTCTCGGCCGCGTTGACCTACACGCCGCCCACCATCAATCTCCCTGACCTCAACACTCTCTCTTGGAAGTCTCTCGACACGCTGCCCGAGATCGCCGCCGACTACGACGACAGCGCCTGGCCAGCTGCTGACCAGCCCTACACGCTTAACACGCTGCGTCCCCTGACGACGCCGACCTCGCTGTATGGCGGCGACTACGGCTACCACTACGGCACCCTCCTTTTCCGCGGTCACTTCACCGCCACTGGCGATGAATCATCGCTCTACATTTCCGCCCAGGGCGGCTTCGCTTCAGGCTTCAGCGTCTTCCTCAACTCGGCGCACCTCGGCTCGTGGGCGGGCGCCGACTACGCGTCCAACGGCAACCTCACCCTGTCCATCCCGGCGGATGCCGTGCCCGCGGCCAACTCGGACGCCGTTATCACCGTCGTCCTCGACACCACGGGTATCAGCGAGAACTGGATCGTCGGCGCCGAGGAGGCCAAGTTTCCGCGTGGAATCCTCGACTTCGAGCTCAAGGGCCACGAGAAGAGCGACGTCGCGTGGAAGCTGACGGGCAACCTCGGCGGTGAGGAGTACCTCGACCACTCGCGCGGCCCGCTCAACGAGGGCGGCCTGTTCGCCGAGCGTAAGGGCTACCACCTCCCCGGCGCGCCCACGGACGAGTGGGAGGACAGCGCAGGCCCAGTCGCCGATGGCGTCAAGGGCGCTGGCGTGAAGTGGTACGCGACGAGTCTCGAGCTGGACGTTCCGCAGGGCTGGGACGTACCCATCTCCTTCGTGTTCGGTAACGGCACCGCCAACGGCACCGCCGCCGGCGGCCAGGCCGAGGCGTACCGCGTCCAGCTCTTCGTCAACGGCTGGCAATTTGGCAAGTACATTCACAACATCGGCCCGCAAGATGTCTTCCCCGTGCCCGAGGGTATTTGGGATTACAGGGGTAGCAACTTCGTTGCCGTGAGCGTGTATAGTCAGGAAGATGCCGGCGTCGAGGTGGAGAGTTTGGAGTTGGTGCACGGCACGCCGGTGAAGACGGGGTACGGAAAGGTTGAGGTTGTCGAGGGTGAAGCATATGCCGCGAGAGAAGGAGCATACTGAGCGCACACTCTTGTCAGTAAAGCTGGCATTCCGGAGTAGTTGTTGTGTGGTAGGGAAGAAGCGGGACGAGGAGGCTTAATGAGTTATGTTAATGCTATATTGGTTTGATATGATCTGGAGAAGTCTTATTGAGTCCCTCTTGTGGTTGCCACACATACGAAAACCGCCATCACCCTGTCTCGTGTGTGGTAGCCGCACGGGACGAGTCTTCTCTCAAAGAGTGCGGATCGCCCTTCGGCAACGGCGCGGTGGAAATGAAGAATAAAGTGGAGGGTGGCAGAAGCAGCTTCAAGCTCTGCCCATGTTCGTCCGCTGTGCTGCTTGATAGGCATCTTCTCATCATCTGTGCTGAGCTGCAGTGGCATAGGGTATCCCTTCGCCCTATGCCCATACCTTAACAAGGCTGGTCAGCCAGAAGGTCACACACGCGCTCGGCCATGGGATCAACTATAGGCTTAATGCTTGGTCTACTTGCCGCATTGTTTCGCTGTCAACCCTCAATCCTTGGAGATCAGTGAATTGCCACTCCCAGCACAGAAGATAGATATACTATACCTGTATGTGAAGGGAGGCCTACTGTCCCCTACATTACTTTGTAGTACATGCGTACGTTGACCTTGCTGGAAAATCGACCACATTGGTGTCGAACTGCAAAAGTGAGACGCCCCACACAGTTCAGTGTGGACGTATGGCCTTATATTCTGACAGTTGGTTTTTCCTCTCGCCTAGTGAACCAATGCGGCAGAAAATATCACATTGTCGTTTCTTCGTCCCGACTCTCTGTGCTCTTTTTTGTTTTCTTTTTGAAGAAGAAGAAGAAGCGCCAAATGTAGCCTGAATGATACCGATGCATGTGACCAAATTTCGTTTTTGAAAAGTCCTACATCCCTTCATTAAGCGTAACTCCATAATCTAGTACCAACAGGTATGAGCAGCATCACCAAGAGACGTTCCCTCATGCACCTTAAACAGTGGCATTCAGGATCCTGGTCTTGTTGGGAAATGGAACAAAGGCAGGTCAGAGTTTCGCGTTAGTCAATCCATAGGTTGAAATCGCCAGAGGCAATTGCGCTTGTTGCAGAAGCGTGGAAAGCTCAAGTTAGCGATCCATCCGATAAAGTAATTCATCACACCACGGTAATGGATATGTCATAGCAGTTCATTTGACTTATTTTCCTTGACTGAACACGTCCATCCACAAGGGTATACCGAAACCTGAAGAACCCACCTAGCCACCCTCGTTTACATCCGTCTATTGCGCATTGACCCCTTCCGTCCTTCCCAGAACCTTCATGAAAAACACACAACGCCTCTATGCAAACCAAATGCAGAAAAATCACGGCAGAACATACCTCGTGATCCATACCAGTCTACCAACCGCCACCAATACTGCTCGCCAAACCAGCCACTCTTTCCACATCACTCGCCTTCTTCGCCTTGCCCACGTCGCTTTCGACCTTCCGGTAGCTGGTCTGCGTGAGGTCGGCCATGTCCACGCCGGTGACATCGCTCCAATGGCGTAGGAACGTGTAAATCTTTCTCCTCGAAATACCGTTGATGACATCCTCCTCTCCGTTGCTCGTATACCCATTCGTCTTTGGCGCAGAGTCCACGTCCATAGGATCACCATCGTGATAATCGCCATTAACGTCCAGCTCCATCAATCGTTCCACTGCATCCATCTCCTCGTCCTCCTCTTCACCTTCGGATGACGATGCAGAAAAATACGCTTCATCCACCCTCCTCAACCAGTCCTTCTGCTCCTGCGGGCCCGGCTTCTTCTGCTGCTGCTGGACCTCCCCACCCTCGACCAGCACCTCCTCATCCCCCCTCACTTCTGCCACCTCGGCCACCTTAATCTGGCCTCCGCCGTTCGTGCAGCCACCAGGACAAGCCATGACCTCCACATATGCATACTCAGTCTCGGCACCCGCGCCTGTTCCTGCTCCCGCCTTTGCACCGCCCGGCCTTCTCGCCACGCCCGTCCTTGCACCAGGCATCCTGCTCACCCTCGCCGGCTTTAACCTTCTGACCAGGTTCTGAATATTCCTAAACCCGTAGAACCGCGCCGTCTTGAGAATCACCTGTCCCGTCGTCACGTCCTTGAGCACGTACTCGACGACGTCGGCGTTGCGGCCGCGCTCAATGTGCAGCGATGTCGACCCGGCAGGCTGATGGCGGGCTGCGAAAGTCTGCATAATGTGGTAGAGATAGCCGCCGCTGGTGCCGACGGCGAAGGGGTCGGCGTTCTTCTGAGAAGTGCCAGTTTTCGGCGAAGGGAAGAGGAAAGCGTCGAGTTCCGGGTCGGGGAAGCGCTGGCGCTGGGAGCGAGGCAATGGTTTGCGCGGAAGGGAGGCGAAGTTGACTCCGCGGCTCTGGGCGAGCGAGAGGAGCTCGCGAGCGGTGATGACGCAGTCGACATCACGCACAGGGTTGGAGGAAGAGGGCAACCAGGCAGCGGAGGTCAGCTCGGAGCGGCTGGCCTCGAGTTTCTTGTCGAAGCACGGCATAACGGCCAGATGCCACACCTTCTCCGGTGGGATTCCGAACTTGCGATATAGCACAGACTTGACCAGCGTTCCGGCCAGCGCCTGCGGCGACTTCATCCGCGACAGGTGCGGCAGAACGTAGGGGTGCGTCTTCTCGGCGTAACAGATCCAGCCGGGGCACGCCGACGTCAGGATTGGCTTCTTCGGCACCGTTGACGCAGCGCCCTCGGCCGTCGAGGACAGCGCGGACGCGACCTCGTCGGCGGCAAGCACCAGCGCCGCCTCCCGTACAGTGTTGGTGTCGATGACCAAGGCGAAGCCGCTGCCGTGCGCGCCGCCGCTGCGCATGCCCTCCGGCCCGCTCAGCAGCCGCTCGACCATGTGCCCGGCCTCGCGCTCGCTGACACCGAACGTCGCCGCCAGGGTTGCCCGCGACTGCGGGCTGACGCTGGCGACGAATATCTTGCCTTCGCCGTTGATCCGGCCGTTCGCCACACCACCTCCTCTTACCGGTGACGGCAGCGCCAATTCCGGGTGTGCATCTAGGGTGTTCAGAACTTCGGTGTGCGACTGCAGAGACACAAGGACGGCCTCGGCGGAGGTGACGCAACCCGAGCAGGCGAGGCAGTCCGTCAGCGAGATTTGCGCGGGCTGGGGGTTCGCGGCGGCGACTTTGTCTTCAGTCGTAACTTCGTAGGGATTCTAAACCGGCGGTTAGAATCAGTCATCTTGTAGGAAGCTGGTGGATCGCTTACAGACGCGCCATCTTTGGACTCGGCTGGTATGGTCTCGATAGGTTTTATGCAGGCGACGCCGGGTGATATGAAGTCGTTCAGGTCGTCAGCGGAGAGAATCGCGCTCATTTTCGGCGAAGCGTTCGCGCAACGGGTGGGAGTGAGAGAAAGGTGGAAGACTCGAGAATGGATAAGAGGGGCAATGCGCGCGCTCGAGAACCACGAATATTAGGCAGCCAGGTCCCGCGACATTGAGGTTTGAAGCCCAAAAAAAAGCTGCTAAAACGATAAGGAAAAAGGAAAGAAGTAGCACGTCCCGGAGAAAGGCACACCAGAAAACGCAAACACACTTTGCTATGTCATCGCGCTTGGCCCGCGGAATGCGGTGGCGGAAGATAGGACGAAGCCCTCCGACGTCGGCCTATCGATTAGCCTGCGTTTGTAAGCGTTTTTCCTGGCACAAGGACTTCACCGCCTGCCTTGACAGGAAAGGCGCCTCTTTTTCTTTGGTCATCAGAACGACCCAAGAACCACCGTCTCTCCAAACTTACCACCCCACGCGCCACAACGAGACCGCGACGCTCGAAATCTTCAACGCCTCCTAGCACCGCGGACTTCTCGCAAGACCTCGAACAATGTCGCAAGCCTACCAGCCCCCTCCCAGTGGCTCCGGCGGCGGCGCTGGCGCCAGCAGCGGTGTTGCCTTCGAGGACACCACCAAGCCAGTTGCCTACCTGTGCGGCGACTGCGATGCCAAGGTTATCCTGCGCCGCGGCGACCAGATTATGTGCCGCGAGTGCGGCCACCGCGTGCTCTACAAGGAGCGGACGAACAGGTAAGTTTAATTGCCCCACCGCCATATCATCTCGAGTAGCTGCTAACGGGTGCCGCGCATTAGGATGGTCCAATTTGAGGCACGCTAGGCCTCCCGTTCACCTTTTCCTCGTTACGACAAAGACTCTTGGAATCTAAACTATCATCGGCAGAGTGATCGATACGTTGCCATCGAGGCGTGAAGCGACTACTCGACACAATTGGCTCTAGACATCCCAAGGAGCAGGTCTAGGACCTCTGCACCGTCGAGATCAATGCAATGTGTTAAGAAGAGAAGTCTCCATTGCTCACGTGGTCCCTGCCTCCAGTGACCATGGGACGAATAAGCTCTGTCCTGGTAGCTATGATTTCTAGAGATTCCAAGGGACCAAAAAAGGAGCATTAGCGTCGGAGGAGAAACAAGGCGTTTTGGGAAGACAACATCGCTTCATTTGAGTTGATTCCGGATCTTGATTCGCAGGGGAAAGAAACGCTCCTGGTAGTGTTTTTCTCTAGACACACATCTCGTCGAAGTAATTCAAACTATTCCAAGATTGAACCGGTGATTGCCAATTTTAATATCTTGTCCTCTGGTTCAGCATTCATATCTTCATGTTGACCGAGCACGAGCACAGCTCAATTGTGCCGGAAGAGGAGGGGGGGAAAGAACAAAGAAATGACCACATATGAACCAACAGATAAACTCCCAAGCTTCAGACTTCCAGTTCGTTGCCTCATGATCTTTTCTTTCTCTTTCTACTTCGAATACATATACCTGCTTACTGCGACTCGTATCAATATTAGAAGAAACAACATAAACCGTGTAACATTTGAGCCCTGGTGCGTGCAAAAGAAAGGAAATGGAGGTAAGAAAAAGCGTCGTCGCTCTACAGGCTTTCCGTTATTGAATGACGACCATTTCCATGAAAACAATTGGGTGGCGATGAGAGCGGATGACGAAGAAGCCACAAAACTCTTGTATGCATATGCACATCGATCGATCAACAGCAAGAGCATCTCACTCACTAAACTTACCACTCACATCGACTCATGTGGAAGTGCTCCCCATGACAATAACGACAGCACCAGCCACGTATCGTGCGATGAAAGGGGACAGTCAGTGGGTAGATCGAAGACCATGCTCTTCCTCCTCTGCGTTCCCGTCCAAGTGTTGGCTAAACTGGCTGGCTCGATAGGTGACTCGGCGAAAACCACACAAGTATATAGAAATTTGGCGTTTAGTAGAGGAAGGGGGAAAACTTGGAAGAGAATAAAAGAGTTGTTCTGCTGTGACCCCATCCCGTGCATACCAGAGAAAAAAAAGAAAAAACCGTAATACATGCTCCTTCATGCTCGCTCTGTCTTTTACTTTTCCCGCATATCTCGTCTCTCTACGAGCCGCGGAAAGCATCGAAACGCTTGTACGTGTAACCGATAAACGGCAAGCTCATCTCGGCCGCCATGTCCTCGGTCTGGTGCGCAGTCTGCGCCCGGAGTGCCGCCGAGTTGTCGTGCTGGTCAATCTCGTCAATCGGGAAGTACTGCGTGTCGACGTTGGATTGCAGCTTCGGCTCGAACGGCGCCCTGATCTTGCGGAGACCATCCCACTGCACCCCGCGGAAGAAGGGGTGCTGCTTGATCTCGTGTCCACCGCCGATGCGGCCCAGACGGTCCTCGGCATTGCAGATGAGTCTGCCCAGAGTCAGCACGATCGACTGTATAGGAATAGTGGGGCTGGGTTTCATGGGGTTTGAGGGGGTGGCAAAAAAAAAAAAGAAAATGGGCTCACCTCCTGATGAAGTCCTCCGCTTCGGCGCCAAGTTGCTGGTCTGGCGGGAAGTGCAGGTTGCGAGGCCAGTCAACAATCTTGCGGTAGGTGTCATGGGGCTCCTCAGCGCAGAACGGCGGCCAGCCAATAAGACACTCGAACATGATGGTACCGACGGACCACCAGTCGCAGCCATAGTCGTAACCTTTTCCGCTAAAAATCTCGGGAGCAATGTAATCGGGCGTACCGACGGTCGAGTAGGCCAATTGACGACGGGACTTGCGCCAACTGTTGATCTGTGTACGATTGCTGACCGTGAGCTGGATCTGGTCGATGGCAACGGAGTTACGGTTGTCGCGGTTCGAGGATTTTTGCGTGTTGCCCGAGAGGAGCTTCTGATAGTATGATGCCTCATGCTCCTTGTGGAAACCAGTAGACAGGCCAAAATCGGTGAGCTTGATGTGGCCACCGCGATCCAGGAGAATGTTGTCCGGTTTGATATCACTACGACGGGTCAATAAACCTCCACCACGTTCTGGGGGCCGCGCATTTCGCACCGATGTATGAAGCCAAGCTTGTGGACAGCCTCAATGGCCAGAGTAAGCTCAGCCATGTAAAAGCGAGTGATGTCTTCCGTGAAAATCTCATACTTGATGAGCATAGTCATCAAGTCACCGCCGGGCAAGAACTCCATGAGCATGTACAGGAAGGTGTTGTCCTGGAAAGTGGTGTGGAGCTTGACGACCCAAGGGCTGTCCGACTCGGCGAGAATATCACGCTCAGAGCGGACGTGAGCAAGTTGGTCCTTCTTGAACTGTACTGGACATCAGTACCGAGATACGTCGGCGTGCCAATATCGATACATACCATCTCTGCCTTGATGAGGGACTTCAAGGCGTACACCTTACCGTCGTTCTTCCTCTGCACCAGCTTGACCTCACCAAACGCACCCTTTCCGATGATCTTGACGGTGACAAAGTTCTCCGGTCTCTCGCGCGTCCGCAAGAAGCGAAGGAACCTCATCTCTGCTTGTTGGACATCCTGGATCTTTGCCTGCTTCTTCGCTTCTGAGATGTTCGGGTTCGAGAGGATTTGTTCAAGCTCGAGTGCTCTGCTGTGCGTCAATGGCTTTGTCCTGTGCGAAAGGGGTCCGCCGGCGGCTTACCTGGCGTTCCTGTCACGAGCTCGCTGCACGCTCTGGCGGAAGAAATCGCTCACCAAGCCGGTAGACAGACGGGCGCGCTTGACGATGTTGTCGGTGTACTTGTCGGGGTTCTTTGGCGGCGGCTCGTCGTCATTGAGCGAGGGCTGGTGCTGACCGGGCATGTGGGCGCTCAGGTAGTTGCCATACTGCTGCTGGCCCGAGGAGCCAGCAGTGCGCGGGCGCTGGGGATTGGGCGACGGCTGGCGACCGTACGGGCTGCCGGAGCGAGGGGTGCCCAGGTTCTGGTTAGAGAACTGGTGGACAAGGCCATTGGTGCCGTCGTTGTAGCCCTGGGGGGCGCGGTAGGCAGCCTGCGGGGGCTGCATGCCCTGGTACTGTGGCGAGTAGCCTTGAGCGTTCATGAAGTAGCCGGCACCTCCGTAGGCGTTGTTCGCTTGCTGGGTGCCCCAGACCTCCTGCTGGCCGTTCTGGTTCGGGTAGACAGGCTGGGGGAAAGTGGAGGGCGTGGTGGGATATGCACGGCCCTGCTCCGCGGCAAAGTTCCGGTCGTTGTTGAAACCGAAGTTTAGGTGGAGGCGGTTCTGCTGATTATTCTGCATTGCGAGCGCAGGGAGGGGCGTTTCGGGTACGGTGGAAATCCCGGACAATCCTGGTGGTCGTAAGCTTCAGGCGTGACGAGGGGAGGAGACAGCGCAGCCAGCAGGACCCCTACCTGTGTGAAGAAAGCGTGACGACGGCGATCGCGCCGCGAGTTGTCAGGACGCAGGAATTCGCTTCGGCAGGTGGCAATGCGGGCCAGCTGCGAGGACGTGGGTCAAAATATGCGTGTCAAGGAGCAGCGCAAACGGAGAGCCGGGCCTGGGAGAGAGGAGGTTGCGGCGGGCACGGGGGAGAAGCGCGGAGGCGGGAGGCGGTCGGCGGGCGACAGGCCGAGCGCACGCGACTAGCTGGCGGGGCGGTTTGAGAACGGGGTCCTCGCAAGCTACGCAGCAGCAATCTGGAGCAATTGGAATTGGACCGGATGTCTTGCTTGGGATTTGGGGGGGGACCGCGGGTTGAGGGTGATAAAACAATACCGGGACACGCCGCCCCTTGGGCCAAAACTGCCTGCCAGACTGGTTTCAGATTGGCCACGCCTGGGAAGGCGCCGCACGCCAGCCCTGCCACCAGCAGCACGTGTTGCCTGCAGCTGTCTACCACGAGCTGAGAGGCCCTCAATCCGGCTCGCCGTCGACCGTCGCCTCTGCCCACCCCGCCGCCCCAGAGCTGTCGCTGCCCGACTGCGGCGCCCGGCCGCCGCCCAGAGCTGCCGTTTCACCAGCTTTGCCGACGTTTCACGGTACACGCAGACTAACATATAGCTACACACATGCACACAAAGTCGACCCCTCTGCATCGGCGCACCGTCGGCCTTGCGTGCCCGTCCAGCCAATGGGCGGTGGACAGGAGCCCCTATGCATGCTAGAGTGCTGCAGGATTCCACCGCCTCCAAAACCGTTCTCCTGTTTTCCCAATCCAGAGACCCGGGAGCTTTGGGAACCACCCGACAGCGTGTACCGATAAATTTGTTCAACCAATCGAGTGCCCCCAAAGCAGCCTATAGGGAATGCAGGCACGCAAATAGGCCAAATATTGGACGGCGTAAGCAGGGGACAAACATGCGTCTGCCCGGCTCGTCACACAGCTGTCATGCTCACCACACCACATAGCTGGCGAACCAAAAGATAGATTACTCGCCTCTCTGCAAGGACCTCTATCGTAAACACGACCCTCTTCAGATTCCGATCGCCATCCGCTTCCAGATTACACCTCTTCACATGCCACCAGAACGCTTCCAAATAACCCACCAAGCCACTGGCGATGATGTCCTCTCCAACAATGCAAACCCAGAATTTCCTGCCAAACCACCAGTCTATATGATTACCAAATGATAGAAGAAAAAATGCAGGCTGTTGCAGCAAGCAGTGGCCATCTGCTTGAGAACGCTGAGAGAATATATGGAAAACTATCGCACAAAAGGCCGGCAACCTTGAGCTCTGAGGTAGCGACACAAGCGGCGGGCATGCAGAAGTAAACAAGAAGATGCTGAGAACAACCGTCAACAAACAACAACGCCTGAAATGCTCCCAATCCAACCAACCATTTTGTTTTTTTTTTTGTGTGCTGGTGGGACAAGACTTATCCAAGAACGCCAATCAATGCAATCAAGTAAGGAGAGCCCTGCTCAGCTGCTCCCAATGCGGAACACGGAAATCGCAGGCCTCCCGTCGGAGAGAGGACGATAAACATTGCGTGTGGCACAAAGTAAGGCTTATGCCGACTGCTGGCTCATGAGCTCCTTGACCAACTCGCGTTGGGCAGTGATCTCGGCTTGCAGCCTTCTTGTCTCGCGCATAGCCTCGTCCCTACCCGAAGTATTAGAAACATATCTCACAAACATTCAATCATCGGGTATACTCACTTCTCGGACTGCAGCTCTGCGACTTCGATCTGCGCCATGTTCATGCGGCTGACCACCTCCTCCATCTCTCTGTCCGCGTCGGACAGGGCCTTCTCCAGGTTGTGCACCTTGTGCTCCAAATCCTCTGTCTTCGTTGCCTGCTGGATCGAGATGCCTAAGCCACTCGAAGTGATGTCCAGCCTGGGGCTTCTCTGCACAAATATAGGGCTAAGGGGCTTCGGCAGGGGACTGTGTGCTGGCGTAAGTTTCGTTGGATCAAGCAAACCCCGGGCATTCTGCATGCGCTTCAACTGTGCTATTTGACTGTCGTTGATAGCACGCAGCTCATCCTCGTGGGGGTTGAGCGCCTCATCCGATTGGCTCTGCGCCACCGAGACGCTTTCCTCAGCCGCGCGTAGCTTGCTTTGCATCTCGGTGATGCGCTTCGCAGCGAGACGCTGCTCGCTTTCACCTCGTCCGATAGCCTCAGCAAGACGTTGTTTGAGAGCATCGTTTTGCTGGAGCTGCGCCTGTGTTTGGGCGGCGAGTTCGTCCATCCTCTTGGCTGCTCCGAAGAGTTCAGACGCAAGAGAGTGCTCCTTGTCCAAGTGTGCAACCTCCGACTCCTGAAGCGCACGAGCCTGTTGACGGTACGTCTCGGCCTCCTTGAGTGCGTTATCACGCTCCGCCTTCGCGTCTGATATGCTCTGCTTGAGCAGACCCAGGACACGCTCGGCTTCTGCCGCGTCTTCTCCTTCCTCCATTCCTTTCACGCGCGCGAGCGAGAGAGCATGGAGGGTCTGAAGCTCCTTGTAGGCCCGCTCCAAAGTGACTGGTGCCTGGGAGTCATCACTGTAGACGCTACCTGCAGACGGTCTCCGCTCTTGTGCGAACATGTCCTTCTCGCCCATTAGATCGCGAAGCGAGCTAGTTTCCAGTTCGGCACGCGCAAGGTCCATGCGGAGACCACCAAGGTTCTTCTCGACTTGCCACTTCTGATCGAGAGCATCATCTGCACGCTTGCGCAGAAGGTTGATTTCGGCACGAAGGTTGGTGACCTCATTGTGGAATGCCGTGCGTCTGGGAGACACATTGAGCGCGCGGTCTCTCTCCATTTCAAGTAGCTTGATCTTCTTTGCGTGATCTTTCTGCTGCTGTTCGTAGCGGGCTAGGAGCTGCTTAAGAGCACGGTGCAGGGCGTCCCGCTGTTCTTCGACATCTTTCATCTTCTCTCCAAAATCGCGCGGGGCTTCGCCCTTCTCTTTGACCGAGTTCGACCGGGAGAGGCCGCTCAGCGTGCCACTACGAGAGCCACGCTTAAGAAGTTGAACGGAGTTGCGAGCAAGGGAGTTGGAGCGCGAGAGACCAATCTTCGGTGAGGCAGACGGTGCGCCTTCCTCTCCTTCCTCGGAAATCGAGTTGAAACGGTCCGATGATTGTGCTAGTTCAAGTCGCATGCGGCGAGCGTTGATCAAGCTCTGGTTTTCGTTGCGAAGGGTTTGGACCTCCTGTTGGAGGCGAGAATTTTCCTCGCCAAGAGACTGAAGTTGCGAGGCTTGGAGTTGAGCAACTTCAGCAATATTTGCTTCATTTTGAACGGTACTGAGTTGACGCTTTAGGCGGGTGATCTCGTCCTGGAGTTTCTCGATGCGGTCTGCTTGGGCATCGTTGGTTTCATTGCGGACATTGTCGAGCTCATATTGCAGACGAGCGTTTTCTTGTTGCATGTCCTTAAATTGCTCCAAGCGGGTGCGGAGGTCCGGAAGGATTTCCATTTGGAAGGACTCGAGTTCCTGCTGCAGGCGAGTGTTTTCATATCTCAGCTTTTCGACCTCTCCTGCCCCAGTTTCGAGACCACTCAGGCGAGCAGTGAGCTGCGGAATGATTTCATCACGCAGATTGTCCCTTTCGCCCCGGTCCTTGTCGTGGGCTTGGCGTAGGGCTGCCAACAGATCTTCCAGGTTTTCCTTGGCTTGCTTCTCGTCAGCAAGTCGGCGCTTGATGTCGTCCAGCTTCTCATTCCCTTGGAGCTGCTCCTCCAGAGACTGGACTTGGGCCTCAAGGTCAGCGCGTCTCCGCAGCTCATCCTGAAGTCGCTGTGCAGTCTCGTTCTTGGCTTGCGCTCTGTCTTGCTCTGCTTTCCGGCGCAGCTTTTCCAACGTCTCCAGTCTCGCCTCGGTGTCGCCGATAGGGAATTTTGCGGAGCTAGCACCCGAGTCCGAGTAGTAGTCGCTCGTTCTCCGGTTCTCTGTCGTCCCGGTGGGGTTTTCCGCCTTGTAGCTCTCAAGTTCATCTTCGAGCTCCAACTCTCTCTTGATCGAGCCGGCCAATTCCGCACTGATTTCACGCAGCTCGCGCTCGAGCTCCTCGACGTGTGCATTGACGCTATGAGAGGACGAGTAGAGCGGTGTGCCGGGTACGGTGAAGTACGACTGCTGGGAGTTGGCAGCAGGGATGTCCAGCGCCTTGGGCGTCTTCTTCTGGGGATTGGGCGCTGGGGAATCCCCAGAGAAGTTGGTGGTAGGCGAGCCGTTCGCTACGTTTTGTGATCCAGACTTCCATCCAAAGAACGAAGTGAACTTGTTGCCGGTGGCCATCTCAGGTTTTGGCGAGCGGTCCTCGTCGTCCGTGAGCTGGTCATAGTCGAGGAAGTCGCCTGTGACGCCATCCTCTCCGTGGATCTGAAGTGTCAAGTTTGGGGTTCTTTGTGAATCATATGAGGACATGGTCGGGGTCCGTTCGTGGCCGTGTGCGTGGTTCGGGACTGTTTCAGGATCCCATTCAGATGTTGAAACTTGAGCCGTGTGGTAGCTGCTGGCCGCGCGATCATAACCCGGCCGGGAATTATTTCCCACGGGCAGCAGGTCTCCGTATTGCGATGATGCTCGCCTGGGGCGATCTCGGTCCTCTGCGATGTAGTCGTCAAGCGGATCGCTGGCGGGGGCAGAGCTGTATGCGGGTCAGCCAGACAGTTACGGTTTGATGTGGCGCCCCGAAACGGCGATGATTCTCCTCCATGATACATTGACGTACTTTTCTTGTGTATTGGGGTGGAATTCTTCCTTTGTTGCAGTCAGGGGCGGCGTGAAGACTGCCTGGGAGCGAGCGAAGGGGTGAGGAGTGGTGTCAGTAGAGAAGGCGCGCTGGGTGTGACCTCTCTCGACGATCCTGGGGCCCGTGGTATAGCTTTGGGAGGAGAAGCGCGTGGCGACGGGCGAGGCGTTAGCGGGAAGCGGCTTGCGACGGACGGGAGGTGATGTAACGGTCGGGCTCGCAGGCGTCTGAGCGCGAAACGTCGCAGAAGAGGGCGTGGTGATGCCGACGAGCGACGCGGTCCTAAGTTGAGGGGCTTCTATATCAGGCGACAAGGGCGTCTCAGACGAATTGGTGCCCCGGCGGCGGAACGGTGGAGTCTGGGTGTCGGCATGCATAATTCCAATTGGGCAAAGATGGAGATAGTGAAGGGCCGCTGCACGAATCGGTCTGGGACACGAGAATCTCTTCCTTCCAGACTCTGGCGTCCCGAGGCGCTCTTGCGGAAGGGGAAGGGGATAGGCTTGAGGAAGATGCGCGCGCACTCCGCAGTGCTATCGGAGGTGGTCTGGGAGCTGCCAAGCCGCGTGCTGTGGCCAGGGCAGGGCGCTGATTGGCGCAGTCCGCAGCTCTCTGCTAGTTTGGGGCACTGGGCTGCCTGGGACTGCGGAGAACGGCGCTTCGCAGGCAACGGGGCTTCCCTAAAGGACGCCAGGCCGCGCAAAGCAGAGGCCGGCCGCTGTTCCTGCGCCGGGCCAAGCCTCCAGAGATCCCCTTTCTTGGCTGTGCGTTCATTTCCCTACGCGTCGCCCAAGCGCACCAGAGCCGCGCTGGGCAATGAGGTGCATCACCACCAAGTGCTGCAGCGCGATCGCGGCCCACACTGCGATCCTGCCCGTGTCGTCAATCGCGCCATTCAGGTAGCGCTCCCGTCCAGGCGCGCGCGACCCACGTCCGCCGCGTCTCGCAGCCAGCACGCCTGCCGCTGCTTGAGAGGCCCAGAAGCGCCGGCGCCTAGGCCGCTGCTGTGCACAATTCATTTGGCCCGGCCCGCAGCTGGCGAATTGTTTCATGTCTTTCGATGCATCGGCGCGGCTAATGGGCGTGTAATTTCCAAGCTCGCCAGCCACGTTAGCCCGCGGATCATGCCTCGTCAGGGGAGGCCTCAGCGCAGGCCTCCTGTCCTGTCGCTGTCTCTGCCGGCCAGACCCTTCGGCGCATAAGGAGGCGCACAAATATAGCAACGCTGTATCTTCTGCATTGAGCCTCGCAGCCAGGTGCGATATTATTGATGAGGAACGACGCGTTGACGACGTGCTCCTTTCGACTTGCGCGCCGGCTAGGCCAGGGTCCATTAGATCGACGACGGCGGCTTGGCGGTCGGATGCGGCGAAACTGTTGTTCCTGCCTGGCCCAGCTCAGATGGAGGCGCGCGTCATACCGCGGGGACAACATGGAGACATCCTGAAGTAGCAGTCCAGCAGCGCTCCCAATATCCCTCCTCATTTCTCTCGAGTCGCGCCGCGCCCTCACCGCTCACGCTCATGTCGTACCATTCCCCGCATCAGTCCCAGGCCCAATTTCACTTCGATGCCTCCACACCGCCACCTCCGCCGCCGAAGCCCTCAGCTCACTCGAGCGGAAGAGGCACGCCGCTTACAGGCCCGCCGCTACCCCCCACACCCGCTCAGATAGCCCAGGCGCAGGCCGGTCCAGCTTCACAGTCGCCTCAGACTTACGGCGGCCAGCAGCCGGCTGTCGAGGACCGCCAACCGCCGATTGAACTGCCCGAAGAGGGCTGGCTGCCGAATGTGCTGAAAGATAAGAAGTGCGAAATTGCCTCAATGCGTGATGCGGATCGTCCAATGCTCACAATTACATGTAGCACGGCTGACCTCCAGGCGGTTCTTGAGAGCCCCGAGCTCCAGAAAGCACTTGCTCACTCGCCGGGCACTGCCCATCCCTCCATTGCCGCATCCACCGCGCCCCTAGGCGAGGCTCTGGCTGCCAACATAGCACTGGCAGAGTCCTTGAAGAACCTCGAGTCGCATCTGCAGCACCAGCGTCAACACACCCAGTCCCGACTGCTTAGCCTTCGCGCCCTCGAGGGACAGTGGCGTGCGAAGCAAGCCGAGCAGGATGCTGCTCTCAAGGACTTCAGCCCGCCTGCACTCTACCAGAGGCTGAGCACTTCTATCACAGAGCAAGAATCGCTTTGCCGCGGTCTAGAAGAGAGCTTCCTCGAGGGCGAGGGCGGCGGGCAAGCCACCGAACGAGAGGTCGCAGAGTTTGTGAGACGGATCAGGGAGGGCAAAAAGATTGCGTATTTGAGAAGAGAGAGAAAGGAGAGATGGGATGAGGGCAGAGTTGGCGGCTGGCGTTGAACCGTGAGTGCATATCCGTGCGCCCACAATAGCGTTGTCCACCAATAGCGTTGGCCGTGCTCCTGCTCATGCCTTTCGTCGCTTTAGTGTGCATTTGAGATACCCAAAGACGAAACGCATGCAGGTAATAAGGACAGAACGACGTGCACCGCCGACTGGTGGATACACCGCTTCCTTTTGCTTCAACCGAGCCCGTCAGGAACGAGACGCCTGCCCTCGCAGGAGGCATACATCCTGTGTCTGAGAAATGGTGTTGAAGAACACTTCGGACGGAAGGCGTCGGGACTAGGCTCTGTCGGGTCACTCGGAACAGGGGTCCAGATAAGGGTAGCGTTGTGGGGTAAGCAACGTGCACAACGTGGGAACCACCGAAAAATTGCGCTCTAGCCCTATGGAGCAGGTCATATTGCCGACTTTTATCGAGTGTTCGTGCGAATTTGCGCTGCTAATGGAAAGCTCGGACGACTCTAGTGGAAAGGAAAAAAAATAGGCGATGGCTATATGCCTCCGTGTGGAGGAGACACTCACGACTTCCCTCACATCGTCCTCAGCCTCGGTATCACGACGTTGCCACATCTGGACGGGACGGTATCACGCGGGCACCCAGTGGCTAAGTATCCGGATAAGCGCGGATCCGCTGGAACAACTGTGTAACCACAGCCCCTCGACTTCGCTTTCTACGACGTTGTCACGGCTGCTCACGACAAGCGTACTCTCCCTGCCAATTCTCCTCCCGCCACTGCCTGCCCTATCTGCGTCGCCGTTCCACCACAGTATGACTATGTGCAGCACAAGTTGACGAACCAGATGCTTCTCCCGACTTCCCGCCTTCCGCTAAGGCCGGGCCGGGCCGTCTTCATCTTTGCTGGCGTAACCCTACTGCTTCTGTGGCATTTCCACCTTCTCAGCGCTAGACAGCCTGTACAGATAGCAGAGACGCTCGTCGATGGACAGGCAAACGCCAATATTGCCAATTCAACGCTCGGCGTACGTCATGCCTTGCAGGGTGTAAGAATGCCGCTCTGGCTAAAGTCACGTTTGCATAGTTTCAAACAATCATCGCCATCTCCTCGGAAAATGCCTCCGCGCCGGGCGCATGGCGGCAGCGCGGCCTCCTCGCAGCGACGCATCGGACCGGCCTGGAAGTCAAGGTGCACCAGTCGCGACGCATTCCGGACGACGAGCTGCGCGCGTTCATGCAGCATACCTCGAAGACTGGCGAGTCGCCGCGCATAGGCAGCGCAAAGGCGTGGCTGGCGCACCTCGATGCGCTCAAGTACGTGCTCGCGCACAACATCAGCACCGCCCTCATCCTAGAGGACGACGCCGACTGGGACGTTCGCATCCGGAAGTTGCTCGCACCGAATGCGGCAGTGCCCTCGCTGGTGCGCGAGATCCTGCACGACAACGACGATGACACCACCAGCGACAATAACTCGACCCTGCCCTACTCCCTCGCCTACGACATCCTCTGGCTCGGCCACTGCGCTTCGGTCAAGACGCCGCACTCTCGCCAGTTGGACACGCTCGACGACGCCGCGTCACTCCCGCCTGCCAACAGCCTGCGCGCGCTCGCAGACCGCTACGCCTACACGCCGCTGCCAGACGGCACGCGCAGCATCATGCGTTCGCCGGGCCCCACGTGCACATACGCATATGCAGTCACTCGTCCCGGCGCGGCGCGCATCCTCGAGCTCGCGAGCGGCGGCGGCGCAGCTTTTGATAACGAAGTCGGCGCAGGGTGTGCGAAGGGAGAGGAGAAAGGTGGTCTGAGGTGCGTGAGCGTGGCACCGGAGCTGTTCCATCACCAACGGGTCATCCGTGAAGATGGGGCGGATAGCAGTTTGGTAGATGGGATGAATTGGGGGAAGGCGGGTGAAGGAGAGTTGAAAACCTACAAGCAAAAGACAGTTGGGAAGGAGAAGGTGGGTACTGGTGCTGCGCATGATGGACGAAGGTTTATCACGTTCAACATCATGTATAGCGCGAGGTGTAATGCGGACAGGGGCGATGGAGATTTGGTTGAGTGTATGCCGACAGATGAGGAGTTGGATCGGTATACGACGTAAAGAGTTGGTAACTTTGGAAGTACTTTACCCGAGACGCGCGACTATTCGAAGTAGACAAGTGTAGTGGCTTGGATTGATACCCCTCACGTATAGTTTTTATTCACAAAGAATGAAATAAATGGTTAATAGAAAAATGGGGTGCTCGTCGTCGATGCTGGGCCCGAAGATTTTCCTGGATCTGGTATACAGAAGGGTATCCCAGCCGAAGGCTCGCGCGGATAGACGCCTGTCTGGGCTCAAGAGGGAGGGGATGATTGAAGAATACCACGAGCGGATAAGAGATGCCCAGACAAATACAGGCCCAAGATGCATAACGCGCGGCCTTGAGAGCACATGCGCCAGTGAGCGAGAAGACGAGAACAGCAGGTGGTGACGTGGGAGCCAAGGCTTGAGACAACGTGCGGGCGGAAAGCAGGGGCCAAGGGGAGAGGCGTGCTGCCGATCCACCCGTCGTCCCCAGCCCCAAAGTCCAGCCGCCCGATAATTGAACGGCCAAGAGCAAAACCGCACCGCTCTGTCCACTCTTCTTCCCCCCAGGAATTCTAACGTTCAGTCTGCTTGGTAAGTGACGCGCCGTCAACTTTACTCATACAGCTAATCTCACGGCCTCTGTAGAAACATAGCATACGCTCGTTACATCACCGCATCCCGACGCTCACCACACCAGTAAGGCGCTCTCTCACCGCGGTCTCGTCCACACTGCAGCTGCGCAATCCCACATTCTATCCAAACAAGCCGCAAATCCTCACAATGCGCACATCACTACGCCTCTTCCTCGCCGTCACGCTGCTCGCCACCAGCAGCAGCGCCAGCGCATTCCCGGGCGCCGACTCGGCACCCCCGCCCGCCAACGACGAGCCCAACACCACCGCTCCTCCAACACCTTACTCGCCCTTCCTACCCGGCTTGATCCTGGACAACATCCCCTTCCTCCACCACGCCACACCCGCCGCCGCACCGCCGTCAACCGCACCCACGCCCGCCTCCGCCGAGAGCGACAGCGCCATCGCCCCGACCACGACGCCGGCGCCAGACTACGAACTCCTCAAGAAGCTGAAGCGCCAAGCCAGCAGCAGCTCCAGCTCGAGCGGCGGCGGCGGCACGACCTGTCCGCAGTCGTACTCGGCCTGCGCGGCGCTCGGCGCGCCGGGCTTGTGCTGCCACCGCGACAGCAACTGCGCCGTCGACCAAGCCGGCCATGTCGCGTGCTGCCCGTCGGGCGCCGTGTGCACCGGTAGCATCAGCGCGAGCTCCACCGTGGGCGCTGGCGTCGGCGTCACCACCGTCACTGGTTCGGGTGCCGCGAGCAGCACTAGCCTGAGCTTTGTCCTGCCGAGCACCGCGTCGACGGGGACTGGTGGGGGTTTCATCATTGTCGCGAGCACGACGGTAGCGTCGCCGAATGCAGCGGGCGCGGGGAGGAGGGGCCTGATTCCGATCGTGGGGTGGTTCTTGTAGAGAAGAGTGCAGGTTTCTTCGTGGATTGCTTTTTGGGTGGTTGAGAATTGCTGGAAACTGAGGGGCATACTTTGGACTGACGATGGTTACGAGCTTGAAGAATGACGATTGGGTATGGATAACGTAATGACGAGAAGATGCATGAAAGGTACAAAGGGTTGGCTACGTAAGATACGAATTGGATGGGGAGTTGGCAGGCTGTACATATGCTTCTTCAGGATTCACTTCTCTAAATTGGCTGCCTCTCGGGTGTAGCACTCATCTTGAACTCCTAGAATATTTTATTCACATTGAGAAGCCAAACTTCCTATTTGCCACGGTGCGCTATATGCATGTCTTGACGCGTAAGAGAGGAGTATACCATCGGCGTACCCGTCCAAATCTTTGCTCCATAGGCTCCATTTACTCCAGTTGATGCAGAAAAAAACAAAAGCCCGCTATACACACACACACCACTCCAGTCTCGTCCCACACAAGCCGACAACTGGTACAGATACCTAGTCCCAGGTCTCACCAAATGCCCAGCCACTTCTTCACCGGCCTGCGCTGCTGCTTGCCCTCAAAATCCCTGAACTGCTCCTCCTTCGCAACGGGGCTCTGGGCATCCTGCACCTCGGGCTCGACAACCTCGGTCTTCTTCTCGTGGGGCTCGCCCAGCCAGCCGCGCAGCAGGCTCGTATTCTCCTCGTCGATGCCGTGGGCGCGGCGGAACTCGGCGCGCTTGTCGACGTCCTCGACCTTGCGCTTGCGCTTCTCGGCCGTCTCCTGCGACACATGCTCGGCGTGCATCTTGTAGACCTGGCCGAACTGGTGCAGCGAGCGCAGCGGGTGGGTGAGCAGCTCGGAGCGCTCGGGCAGGAGGTCGCGGTAGGGGGTGGAGGTAAGGAAGTTCATGAGGAAGACGTAGAAGGCGAGGGAGAAGAGGACGCCCTGTGTCGAGCAATTCGTTAGCACCGGCGTCCTTTTCGGTTTGGCTGTTCCAACGCACCAGCGAGATATACACATGCAGCATTCGGTTCGTCAGGAACCAATGCATGAAGCTGCCCTCGGGCGGCATCATGTTCGGATATTGCTTGCGCTTCTGCGTCGCCAGCTCCTCGTCCGTCAGGCGCGGGCCGTATGTGTACTGCGGCCTCTTTCGGCTCGAGGGTATCCTCGCCGGATGCGACGGCGGTCGGAACTTGTCCGGCTTCTCGAGCACGCGCGGCTTAGAGTCATCGTTTTTGGCGGCGGCGTAGTTGCGGCGGAAGAGGAGCTGTGCCGGGGTGGATCGGAGGGAGAAGAGGGCGCCGGATGTGCGGAGATAGTGTGCGGAGGAGAGGCGCACGAGAGCGCGCGGCATTGGGGCGGATGCCATGGTGGGCGGGAAGCTTTCGTCGAAGCCGCGGTGATGGATAGCGCGGGCAGTGGTAAGATGCGGGAAAATTGGTGCGGAGGTGGTGCGTGTAGACGGCCGGAGTGAAGCTCGGGGATCGACTTCCTTCAAACCCTTTTATACAGTCCCCTCTCACAGCCGATGGCTAGCGCGGATTTGTTTTTTGCTCATGTTGTGGGTAGTAAAAAATTCGACATTTTCGTCCAGACGATAGCTTCAACTACCCACACATGTTATTTTTTCCAAGAACGGGCTGAGGCATAGTTACGTCTGGGGCCTTGCTATTCTTCACGCTAGCCATCGGTTGCGAGAGGGGACTGTAACTTCTGAGCTTGTCAACGTCTTTTGCTCTTGCCGTCTTCCGTTATTTCCCGCGTTCCAGCGTCATTTAGGTAGGTTGTATTTTCGAATGCTCCGGGTTGGTAGACGGCGTATAGGTAGAGGACACCTGAGGAAGCAATGTCTCACGCACCGACAGAGCTTACATGATGCACAAAGGCATGTTTCGTTTCAGTTTATGATCAAGAGTCGTCCAGCGTCTGACGCATTTTCTCCACCAGTCCTCTCCTTGGTCCGTCATATCTACTTCTTTCTGCTCTACTTTTTGCGTTGCCTCATGGCCAAGGACCCGCCACCCTTCGCCCAGCCTGACTACTGGGACGAGCGCTTCACCAAGAACCCGTCGGCCTTCGAATGGCTCCTCCCAGCCAACTGCCTGGACGGCCCCATCACCGAAGCTCTCAGCCACGCCTCTTCCCCCCGCCCGCGCCTGCTGCACATCGGCTGCGGCACGTCGGCACTCTCGCTGCACCTGCGCTCGCACGTGGAGAACCCGCGCCAAATCCACAACACCGACTTTTCGCGCGTGGCCGTCGAGCTTGGCGCGCGTTGGGAGCGCGACGTCTTCTCGGCCACTGCTCGCGAGAAAGCCATCAACGCCGGGAAGAAAGACGGCTCTTCAGAGGAGCACGACTGCACCGATCGTATGCAGTGGAGCACACTGAATCTGCTCTCGCTACCATCCATCCGCGCGCTGGCCGAGGAGGAAGGATGCTACGATATCGTTGTTGACAAGAGCACCTGTGACGCCATCAGCTGCGGCGACGACGTGCCTGTTCCACTGCCGCACCCGCTCCAGCCCTCTCCCCCGCCGCCGTCGTCGTCCTCCTCTTCCACCGCAAAAATCCACCCCCTGCACATTCTCGCGCTTCACCTCGCTGCCCTCGTCCCGCCCGGTGGCCGCTGGATCGCCCTATCCTACTCCGGCCAACGTTTCCCCTTCTTCGAGCCGTTCCCCGTACGCGCCGACGAGGGTAGGCTGGACGCTGAGCTGTTGGAAAGGGGATTTGTGCATCCAGGCCGCTTGTGGCGGTTGGAGAGGAAGGAGATGGTCGAGGTGGGAGGGGAAGGAGCGAAGCCGGGTAGTGGTGGGCTGGTGCATGAACCGAGGACGGCGCATTGGATCTATGTGATGGTAAGATCGGAGCTGGAGTTGGTGGGAATGCCACTGCAGGGATGAAATATCCATGTTTGAAGAGCAAGAAAACAGTCAAACACGGCGCACCACGAAGAAGCATGTTTGTGAGCTATCCCCCAAATCTATGGTGGCTGATCACCACTGGAGAAATGCGAGCTAATAGTACTCCAGCTGTGATTCGAGCGGGAAGGGGCGGGGTTCACGCGGGGCCGGGTCTATCAACTTCCCCGCGTTGATACACGCGATGTTATTGCTGCATTTCTTGCTTTTCGATAGGCGGACTCAAGCTCTCTGCATATCTTCGTTGCTTCCGTGGTACGTCCTTGTTCCTTACATATAGTCCAGAGTGGAAGAGACGCTTTGCAGGTCACTGACGCCGCTTGCGCGAAGGAGGCTTCGGGTCGGGACGCTTCTCTTCTATCAGCTTTGAGACAGGTCAAACTTGGGATTTCTCAAAGTTCGTTTCTCAACAACAATCATCTGCACGTTACACGTAGCGCACCCTTTGTCGAGCAGATCATCTTTACGAGTGAGGGTAGAATCAACCCATCGACTAGTCGCCCATTGGCGGGGTAAGCCGCTCTATTTCCTCATTGGCCCTCGCTGCACCAAGCTGCAGCTGCAAGGTGTCTGAATAGGCAGTCCCTCACGCAACCGAGCGTGTTCATCACTCGTCTTATCTGCATCATTTGCAATCACATGTCCCCGGTTCATGCACAGCTGCGCTGGCTCGAACATTTCGCCATGAGGCTGAGAAAATGTCTATTTATCTCTTCGCTGCGACGATGCCCCGGTGTGGAGAGGTTTCAAAGGTGACTTTTGTGCGTCACGGCCGCCGCGCCATGACAACACTTCTCTGCAACCATGCCTCCCAAGCATGAAAGCCGCGGCCACAAGAAGCCCAAGTCCATCCTCAAGCACCGCAGGCATGGGCCTGCGCCCGAGCCCGCCGCCGAGGCTCCAGCAGGAGAAGCTGCTCCTGCCCAGGAGCCGCCGCCCGAACTACCGTCGCGGGAGAAGAGCAACGATGCGGCGCCGACGATTCGGAGCAACTCGAAGCGGGCGTGCAACCTGCTGATGCGGATCAAGGAGGACCAGAGCCCCGTCGCGTCGTTTTTCGGCATTGCGCGACTGAAGGGGTCGGCGCTGGAGCTGCACAAGCTGCTGAAGGAGGAGGGAGGGAACGTCCGGACGGGCGAGCATGACATCCGTCGGCTGTTCAAGGGCGAACCAAGGCGGGTGCAGGCACTGCTGGAACAAGATGCTGAGCTGCCTGAGAAAACGAGTGAGCAGTCCTCAATGTGCATCTGGACAGAGGTGACTGACGCTTCTGATACAAAGTCCAAACGAAGACCGAATTCGTGTCAATCAATAGTCAGTTCAACAAGATCGTTGTCACACCCTTGGAGAAGTCATTCAGAACCCACGGCCGGTCGAAGCCCGACTACGGCCATCTTCGCAAGCAGGCCGAGCTTCTCCTTGACCAGGCACGAGAGGCTCGCAACTCGCTGAAGAATGCCGTGAGGGATGCGAAGAAGAGGAATTCCACCAGCGTGGAGCCAGATCCGCTTCAATTCACGATCCCAGCCCAGCCCAGGAAGAGGCGCAAGCGGCATTCCCAGGCCCGGAGGAAGCATTAGTGACGGAGTTTTGTGGTATTTCGGTATGTCACTCCTCATTTTTCAAGGGTGCAAGGCGCACGTTCTTTCGGCCAAGGTGCTTCTCATTGAATGCGAGAGGGAGCTACATGGACAGGCGAACTTGTACAGTGTATGAAGCACTTCTTTTAGTATCAAGACCCAAGTAGCAGGAAGCGTTCAGCTTGTTGATTCGATTATCGTGACATTGCCGTTGTGAACACAAAGCAAGGCGCATGGTCGAGTGTTTACTGCTGCTGGACAGAAGGCGTCTTCCTGCTTCAGTGTCCGTTCAATCGGACTTGGGGTATTGATAAGGTTGGATCTACAGCATGGAATACAAGCCAAGGGCACGCAAGAGGGAACTCGTCGACGAATGGGTAACGTGATGGGCGGCATAAGATCTGAACCTCGCCCACGCTGCATTTCTGAACGTTCTTCCCCCCCGTCTCATCACCACCTTCCCGAGGGAGTAAGCCTTCACCGACCGTCAGGCGGCAGAAAAAGGCCACCTGCCTGCGCGCTCGCACCCTCTCACCGCTCAGTTGCACGGGCGGGCGACACAATGCCCGCGTCGATCCGCTCCGTCTCGTCTCCGAGAGAGCAGGCGCGATGCCGGATGGGGCAAGCAGAGACAGACCGCCACCACACCACCATCCTGCCTTCCTCACTCGGCCTCCCACCAAGCCCCACTTGCCGATAACAGAGCGACGAAACCTGCACGACATCCTTGGAAGCAGGCCTTCTAGAACTTCGTTCTGATTCATGCAAGGCTGCTCGGAGCGGCCCTCCGAAACGACCAAGGCGGTTCATGTCCAACCAAGGCCTCCCTCACCATGACTCTCGCCGTCGCCCAACACGGCCAGCAGAAGACCACAACGGGATCGTGCAAGCGCCAGCGCACGCACAGCAACTTGTCCACCCCACATCGAACACGGAACTCGTCCAGGAAGTTCCCCACCACGACGACGCTACGCTATTTCCCCATTCGACACCGCCTCATATCAACCTCGCCACAGATCGTGTCATGATAAACCGGTTGCCGGCAGCCGGCCCTTGTTCGGATAGGGAAAGGAAGGCGCCCTCTGTCTGCTTCATCGAAGATGATCGAGAAACGCAAAACCCTTGTGGCTGGTGGTGGAAGCGCCGCCATTGGGCGCTTTGCTCCACACTGCCCCTTCACCGCCTCTCGTGAGCCACGCGTATGCATGTGACAGAACAAGCTCAACACCAGGAATAGCATCGTCGACTAGTCCACAACTCATGTTTTCCGGTCAGCTCAAAGCAGCCAAGGGGAAAGCAGAACGCGTACACCACAACACCTGCTCTTCAGCTCCATCCAAGAAAAAACCTGGTTCTGGTTCGAGCGTGTGGGCTCGTTGTGGCATCATGTGGCCAGCCAACTGCAACACTGTTCATCACCGGCGGTATGGCGTCGTTCCCATCGTCCGCGGTTGCGGTGGGGACCATGTGGCTGTGCTGAACTCACCATGAGAAGATCAGTAAGCAGAAAAGACGCTGCGTAGTAAGCATCTCGAAGACGACGACGACGTCACGAGACGCCAGCCGCACAGCCGCATAACGGCCCCCTTCTCTGCTGCACCTCACAGCTCTTTCCTTCGCCGAAGCTGAGCAGCGGTGCTTTCCGACGCCGTGGCAGAGAGAAGGATCCGGGAAAAAAATTGCGAGACGACCGGTGAGAGATCCTCAGGCCCGACGAAGCCGCCCGGGAACCACTTCGTTCGAGAACTACTTGGCCGAGGCGTCCTTCCCGTTTTCCATCTCGCTTATCGGAGCAAGAGAGAGGTTGCGGTCAGGATACAGGACGTTGCACATACATGTTTTGTATATGCAGCGCGCACTGATGAGACTGAAACGGAGCAGACCGCTCTTCCTCGTCGAAGACACGTCGCAGCAACTGCTGCTACCTACAGCCCGTCACTCACACGGATCTTCGCCGTGCATTGCGTCAAACTTCAGTCACATGGTGTCCCCGTCTTTCTTTGGCAACAGTTGTCTCAGACTCCGTGTTTCTCGAAGCATGCCGCGCCGTGATGCTTTTTCTTGCGGCGGTGAGGTCCCTTTTTCCCAGACACAGGGTCCGGCAGCCTCCAGCCGACGGGCCTTGCCGCTGCCCGTTGCTTTTTGTTGCTCTCCTTTTGCTTCTGTGATTGCATGCAATCGACGTTAAGCGAGCCTCGATCAGGAAACCGCTTGCCGTTGTGGCATGTCTACGTAAGTCAGCCAGCCACCCGGCAAGCAACCAATTCTCCAGCCCCGGACGGAAGTGGTAAAGCAGAGCGTGGAGTGAGACCACACGACCGGGGGGCTGCGCTTTATCGATTTGCTTTTCTCCTCAGAATCCTACACGCTGTTCAGACCACTGAGACGAGGCGAATGGCTGCGGAAGCCGAAGTGCATGCCAGGATGCGAGTCGTTCAGCGAGTAGGAAGTGGTCGGAGAAAACAATCGACCAACCAGAGCGCGGGCGGTTAAGCAAGTGGAAAACGAAAAGAAAAAGGCAGCACGCTGCAGCCCAACCTCCGATGCCCGTTTCCAGTCACAGTCCCAGCCTCCCAACGGCCTTGCATAATCGCCGAGCACCGCTTCGTTGGTTGACGACGACCGAACCCATGCAGGGACTACGCATTTGTGGAAATCGTCGTCGTGGACAAGACAGACAAGGTTCCTTGTGGCCAGCCAGCGTGAGATAGACTATCAGTCGACCAGCACAACAACTCGTCCACGTCACGGCACTGACGGCGCCGCTCCATCAATCCATCGGGGGAGTCAGACACGGCTAGTTCCAGCTACGTAGCCGGCTGGTGGAGTCGTGTGTTCTTCAGTCGCGCTCGCCTCATCATTTTCAAACGGCTCCGGGGTCCCGCTCATCACTCTCTTCAGCCATCCAACCACGACACCGCCTCTCTTGGGCAGTGCCAGAGCAGCGTCCGAAAAGCGCGCACTCCACGAAAAGAAGGCGTTCCAGCGCACACCGCCACCGCTACTCTGGCGTTGAGCCTTCTTTTCCGCTCCGCGCGCGGAGGGCGGCGGGACAGTATAGCTAAGCCATGCTTATGCATTCGCCCACCCTTCCGCGCTAGACCACGCTCGGAAGGGATGCACAACTTTATGCACAACACAAGAGATGCCTTTCTCCCCAAAGCACGTCTTGCTCACCGCCACCCATTGCCGACGCTCGGCTCTGGTTTCTGTGCCTCAATCTTGCCTCCAGGTCGCCGCCATTACGCATTCGCCGGGGCAGGAGGGAGCGAGAAAGCACGGGCCGTGTGTTTGTTGAGAGGCGCAGATCCACAGCCGCCGCGCCTCCAACGACGCCGCAAGTAGATGGCACCTTTTACGAGTCGCCCCATGGAAAAATTTCCGCCAACCCTTTTCTCGTACTGCGTACACAGACGAAGGGGGGGGGGAGTTAATTGATGCATCATCTCGCATGAAAATTGTCATCGGCTGGGCCAAGGATTCGGTTAAAGCAACAGCAAAAAGTGCCGGCTCTTCTCTGCCTGCCTACTCGGCTCCGAGGCTCGGGTAATCGACTACGACGACGAACCCCCTGTTGTCTCGTCCGTCACTCTGGTGATAGCGTGGAGTGGTGAGAGCGGTGGCTTGCTTTAATTTCACTCTTTCTGGACTCTTAATAATAATAGCATAGTCAACCAACCTTGCTCATACTCTTCCACCCCCCCTTTGCTGCATGCACATACACTTTGATTGCTCAGGCCCAATGTGTACAAAGTTCGGTATATAGGCCAAGATCTGTAGGCTATTGCTCACATGTCCTCCTCTCCCCCTTTACCACCGGACACAGATTGGGCTCTACCTTTCAGCACGGTACCCTTCAAGCCCACTTGAAAATGGATTCGAGCAAGAGACAAGTTTCTTCGCCTCGCAAGCGGTGGAGAGGTGGGCTCTTCAAAAAGGAGCAGCACATTGACCACGTAAAAGCACCAAAGGAGAAGTAGCAGGCGATGGACAGGAAACCATCTCCACGAGCCGACCCGCGCGTATAGCGCCAGACTCGAAAGCGCGGAATGGTGTTCCTGCAATTGGATTCCCTGTATTCCACAAACCGCCGCCCCCCCCCCCCCCCCCCCCCCCCCCCCCCCCCCCCCCCCCCCCCCCCCCCCCCC